TTTACGGAAAATATTCAAAACCCTTGCAATTTTCGCTATCATTTCTGAAATCGAAAGCACGTACCACATGACACACATCGAAGAAAAAGGTGGTAAAATCTCATAAAAAAAATCCGAAATAGATTCAAATTCAAAAGAAAATCCATAATTTACTATTTTTCGTCAAATGTTTGCTACGTATGGACATTAATAGCAGTCTTCACTCGTATTTGTTTCATATTTATTCGTGATTGCCGCCGTTACGTAACATCAAATTTGTGAGTCTAAATCTGAAACCATAAGGGATTCCACGCTCGATGATTTGAAAACTGTTTTCTGAAAACGACGTCAGCGGAGAGTGATATAACATATTGATATGCCATAATAATAACAACATAATATTGTTATTGGTCTGTCATTGCAGGAAGTATATTGGCATATTTAGAATATTAAGGGTCGTTTTTAAAACGTTTAGTCCCCCTCCCCAATCTTCAGAACGGATAAAAGTAGGTACACGTCAACTTGATGAATGTAGGGCCTATGTGATTTTGTACCCAAACCAAATTGTACCCAAAGTACTTGGTGATTTTGTACCCAAGAAAACTAAACTAAAGCTGTAAGATTACATTTATTTTTCATGTTTATTGCAAACAATGAACTTAACATTATGATAATCACCAAGTTCATAATATGACTAACCTAAATGGACGTGGTCTTAGAGAGAAGTCAGTCCATATTGGCACAACTCAAATTGATTGATTGTGATAGGAAAGTTCGGCAAGGGTGGAAAATGGACTTTTATAGTCAGTTAACTCACTTGCCTCGAGAAGATGAGGGTTATCATGTATACAGGGACATTTCATTTCACTCCACCAAGAAGGCTGAGATACATTGAACATGATAAAGACCTATACTGACTGGATATTCAGAAACCCATCAAATGATCAAGGATGTCAGATCCAAAGCTGGTGATGATCTGCATTTATTTTGATTTTTTTGTACATCAAATTGACTGGGACATGCATGAGCGTCACTGTCACACAACTGAGCATACTGCAACAGACATGGAAAGTCCTGCCAGACTTATAACACATTATTTCATAAGTGAGAACCCTGAAGAAATACATAAGGTAGGATATTTCCAAGTACCTTTCTCCAACAGAACAGAACTGCAAGAATTGTCAATGTACGTATATGTGCCCTGTTCCTTTTTCACAAGGTAACACTCTTATATAAATATATCGCTAACTCACCAGCTTAAGTTGGTTGGTTGGTTGGTTTGTTGTTTAACGCCGCACTCAGCAATATTCCAGCTATGTGACGGCGGTCTGTAAATAATCGAGTCTGGACCAGACAATCCAGTGATTGATATCATGAGCATCGATCCACGCTGATGACATGCATCAAGCAAGTCAGCGAGCCTGAGCACCCGATCCAGTTAATCGCCTTTTCCGACAAGCATAGCCGCTTTTACGGCAAGCATGGACATACAAAGTATTCGCCAGGAGCTGACCAAGAGAACTGACGATCTCGTGCAATACAGCCGGAGAAACTCAATCAGGATAAGTGGTGTTGAGGAGAACCGCGATGAAAATGTCGAGGACGTCGTCATGGACCTTTTGAAATACCTCCATCCCAATATCAGCATAAGTGACATCCACAGATGCCATCGGGTGGGAAAAAAGAAATCAGTGACCAAGAGGCAGATAATTGTAAAATTTGTTAGTTACTGGGACAGAAATAAGGTCGTGAGAAATCGAAATATACTGAAACATACGAAACAATCTGTCTGAGGACCTGACACATTACAGAAGCAAATTATTTAAGAAAGCTCAAGACTCGAAAACAAAGAAGAAGATCCACGCAACATGGACATATGAAGTCAGGATTCACGTATGTGAACAGCCAGAGGGAGCAACTCATGTCATTGAATATGAATCAGACCTTATCAAAATACAACTGACAAGTCATTTGTGCTAAATTAGAGTAAATGGTTAAAATTCTACTGTGTATGATATTTAAAGCCCAAAGCTGTTCACTGACTAACTCATATTTGAATCATACATTTTATATACCCTTGTGTATACAAGTTCACATTCCAAATATACCACCAATCAGGTATGTCGCCACACAAAAAGCGCCTACTTCAAAAATGAATCTGCCATATGGGTAATGACATTGTACAACATCGTGTGGCGATTAGGGTTTCTCATGTTAAATCGCGAACCTATACTAGCAAAGCTAGCTACAATTCTATCATTAGTCTATTTGTAAAGGACCCGTGAAGAGCTGGGGTAGAATAGGTCTTCAGCAACTCATGCTTGCCGTAAAAGGCGACTAACGAGATCGGATGGTCTCACACTGGTTGATGCATGTCATCGATCCCAGTTGTGTGAATCGATGCTCATGATATCAATCACTGGGTTGTCTGGTCCAGACTCGATTATTTACGGACCGCCGTCATATAGCTGGACTATTGCTGAGTGAGGGGGTTAAGCAACAAAACAACCAACAACTATTCGTAAAGGAAATTCGATCAAAAACGCTTTTGAACGAATTACACACAATGGATGTTATTCTAATCTCCGAATGGAAAGTATGTACATTCATTCTATGTCTCTGTATTTTAAAAACACAAGCAGGTTATACGAACATTATTTTATTGCTATTGTCAATACTAGTAAAACAAAAATTATAGTTTTTGGTGGTACAAAAAGAGACAAGAGTAAATATTTACTATTAAATGGCTCACCAATCGCATATGTCACTCTTTATAAATATCTTGGAAGTCACTTTACAAATAAAAACCCTTTCAAAACTTCTATAAAAGCAAATTGTGAATCTGCCAATAAGGCTATGTACTTTGTATTACGTAAAAGTAATGCATTTAATCTATCCATTAATGTCAATTATATCTCTTCGATGCTATGGTGAAACCAATTCTATTATATGGTTGTGAAATCTGGGGTTTTGAAAATTGTAAACAAATTGAATATCTGTTCACCTTAACTTTCTACGTAAATTGCTTCCCATTAAGAAAAGTACACCTGTATACATGTTGTATGGAGAACTTGGAAGAGAACCTTTAAGTAATTTTATCAAATGTCGAATGGTATGTTTTCGGGCTAAGGTCATATCTGGCAAAGAACAAAAGTTATCAAGAATTCTGTATCAAATGTGATAATGAAATATGATGAAGTCTGTACAAACAATAGCTGTCATAAATGGATACAATGTTTGGAAAGTATTTTAAATGAAACGGGCTTCAGTTTCTACTGGTTAAGCCAACAAGCAGCTCCTCATAATGTCCTTCAATCTATCATTTCGTTAAGATTATCTGATATAGCAACTCAAACATGGAATGCAGAGATTACAGATTCTTCTAAAGGTATCACATATCGCATATTTAAAACTGAACTCGTCCTTGAAAAGTATTCAATTAGTTATCGTTGGCTGTAAAATTCCTTCTGTTTAGAACCTCATGCCACCATTTACCTAATGAACTAGGTAGGTGGCACACAATCCTTGCCAGTGAACGAACGTGTAAACTCTGCGACATGAGCGATGTTGGTGATGAATTCCATTATATTTTCGTTTGTCCTTTTTTTAAACCCCAACGGAAAATATATGTTCCAATTTCATATGCTAAATACCCAAAAATGTTTAAATTTAAAGCACTTTTTAATTGTAAAAAAATAAATGTTATTGAGAAACATTCTGTCATGTCATTATGCAAACTGTAAAATCTTCCATGTAAACCATCCCGCCATCTGATGTATTTAATGTTTGCAAATGTGTACCTCATATGCCGAGGATCCCGGCCTGAGCGTAAATAAAGTTCCGTTCTGTGCTTTTTTATCTGCAGCTTGCCGTTTACCTTGAGCTCTACCCGTGCCCACTGAACCGTGAAAATGACCAACACGAGAAATCTGTGTCAATATTTCACCTCAACACAAGACGTGTACACAATAAGTTACATTTTCTAAGTGAGTATTGTTCCGACTGTCTATCAATGTTATGCCAACGTTTTTTTGTTGACCGGCGGTCCAATGTTGGCGAAATATCGTTGGCCCAACGTTTGGCTGTCGGTAAAACAAACACGTAAATATTCAACCAGGTTTCAGCCAGTGTATTGCACCCGTAATGGGATGTCCTCAGATCTTTGTTTAGCGGTAGCATGAGTGCTTATACATATTCAAACCCAGCAACGTTGTTGCTATGCTGACGTCGGTTTTTCAAATTAGGCTATACATTTTGTGGCACTTCTAACATGTCTAACGGCAGGCACTTTGATTTATATACATGTACATTGACATAAAACGTATGTGCGAGGCAACTCGAAAGTTGAGCTTTGGTTCGTAAGGATATTCGATCCGAATTATATCAATATGCATTTGGTCTATTCAGTAATTGACCCATCACAATAAATAGTTGCCCGTCATTGCAAACATGATCTTCCTGTAACACGTAAGGCCATGAATCATGTCAACGGAAACGAAGGGAAAACGGTTGCTTAGCTGTACGGGTTTGATATGTTTGAATTATCTCTTTGATCTAGGGAATGTGTCATTTGTCCTGTTTAAAGAGCTGTTTCAAGTTCATTTTTTAAATACAGAGGTTCAAGGTAGCATCCGGGTACATATTCCCCAAAATGAGGAAACTACTGAACAATCGAACGATCACATGAGAATGCAACTTAAAACTTCCGGCTTATTTCCAAACACATCACTGTGTACAGACTATATTTTGTGAGGTCAGCTTTAAAAAGTATTTATCATTTAACTAAAGCATTTATCCATGACATAAGCTTATGACATAAAAACATGTATGTCATACCCCAATGATATAAGTATGCCAATTAGATATGCACATTAGATGACAGGAAGTGGGACGTTTTTCGCCGTCGCACGTGAGTAGGTGTTTACAAAAAATATGGGTACCTTTGATGTTGGAGACAATGTTTTAATAGATCAAAGGGAAAGTGCTACAATAATATCCGTGTTGACAAATGGATATTACAGGTTACCGGTTTGATTTTGACGGTGATGAAGGCAGATTATCAAAAATTCCCTGTGACCAACGCTTCGTCATCGAAACACCATCGTCGAGCACGGCGAAGCAGACGACAAACACAAAGTCTAAAGATGTCCAAGGTAGATTTGTGGTTGTTTAGGATGGCATGATCGATTGTGTGATTCCAGACAATCAAAACAAAAACACAGCCAAGAAAACTTTGTACGATTTGAAACTGTTTGATAACTTTCTAAAAGTCCAAAATGAAATTCGCCAAATGCTTGAAATACCTCCAAACGAACTAGACACACTTCCCTGCAAGTTTTTCATTAGTGTTCAAAACAGGTTTCAGTGCTCAGTACAACATGTGTTGGGGGGACATCACCTTGCATGTTGATGAAGACGGTCAAGAATATCTTGAACTGTCCTTGAGACAAGGAAAGAATAGGTCTGGTGAGAATCCTCGTGATTGTCGTGACCTAAGGCCCCAAATGTGGTCAAATGTTGCTGATCTCGGTGCCCTGTGCAGGTGTATAAGTATGCCTCCACGCGTCCACTCAACTTCTGTCGAGATGAAGATCCCTTTTACATCGGCACACACACTTTAGGCAAGCCTAAACCAGGCGATCAGTGGTTTATCCACTGTCGTATTGGGGAAAACAAACTTTCCTCTCATGAAAAACATGTGCGATGCCGCCAGTCTCCAAACATCGAAACGACTCACTAATCATTCTGCGCGCAAACACCTTGTGGAAAAGTAGGATGACAATAAAGTCCCGCCAAATCAAATGCAGATAACTAGTCACAAAAACATCCATTCTGTAAACAATTACTGCCATATTAATCCTGACCAGCACAAGCAAATATCCAACATTATTTCGCGAAAATATAGAATACTAAACGAGTTCCCGTGTAATACCAATGTTATGAAACGAGTGAATAGTTCTGATATCTGACGAGCGATTGCTTCATATCTCTCAGGACTCTATCAATCAGTCATCATAAATGGAGTAAGATCAAAGAAGTATGAACTAAAGTTTGGAGTGCCTCAAGGCTCTGTCCTTCGCCTAATACTTTTTACAATCTACACCCTACCAGTAGGAGATATAGCGAGATCTCACAATCTAAGCTTCCATTTATATGCTGATGATACACAATTGTATCTGGGATTCAGACCGTTGACTACATCATCAGTCAGCATTGCCTTTAAAGCAATCTCAAGCTGCATAGATGACATCAGACGCTGGATGAGAAGCAACTTTCTCAAACTTAATGATGACAAAACTGAGCTCTTGATTATAAGCTCTTAACAGATGCAGTCCAAAGTACGAGTCCCGGGTTTGAAAATTGGGGACTGTACGGTTGAGCAAAACTCTTGTGCCCGAAATCTAGGCGTGATCATTGACTCACCACTCATTCTGGATAACCATGTAAGCACTACGTGCAAGACAGCTTACTTTCACATAAGGAAAATCAGACCGATAGCAAGCTATGTAGACACAGCATCAGTCAAGTGCCTTGTCCATGCATTCGTAACATCAAGACTTGACTATTGTAATAGTCTTCCGTATGGTATCCAGCAACATCATCTGGATAGACTACAGCGTGTACAAAACACTGCTGCCAGGCTCATCACACGGAAGTCAATGCGTGAACACATTACACCCGTCCTGAAAGAGCTGCACTGGCTACCTGTGAGACTCAGGGTCGTGTTCAAGCTGATCATGTTCGTCTACAAAGCGATCCATGGGTTATCCCCAGTATACCTCCAGGAACTCACTGCCCTTTACCAACAATGAGATCTGCAAACCAACTACAGCTTGCTGTTCTTCCAACCAGCAGAACAACAAATGGCGACAGAACCTTACGAAAAGCAGGTGCAACTCTATGGAATGCACTGCCTATTGATGTTAAGTGATCTGAAGATGTCAACACCATCAGATCAAAACTCAAGACCATCCTCTTCAAAAGAGCATACGACTGAGCGCTCTTGAGCAAGGTGTATATTTGGATAAGTAGCGCTATTTAAATGCTTAAGTTGATTTAATTTAATTTAATAATTTAATTAATGAACTATTCACGAGTTTCATAAAATTGGTTTTACACGGGAGCGAGTTTAGGATTTCATTTATAACTTGCCATGTATAACGTTTTTTTTAGAATTATACTGTCGTGTGTGGCTGGCTGGCTACACGATCCACGCCATAATCCAATTGAGTTTGACAGAATAATACTTTAAACACATCTAAAGTTAAAACGTATGAATTTAATACCATACAACGGTCCACCTGTAGAATTCAGGCGTCCGTTCCACAAAGTTGCCGTAGCGCTAAGGTTATCGCAACTCACATACTTTAACATAGGCTTACGACTGTCGTTGCGCTACAGTACGATCGCCTTGTGGAACGGGGCCCTGTACCACAACGTTTACAATCACGTCACAATACCCGATGACGTAATTTGTGGAATTTTGTTGCAAGATCCATTTGCGAAACAATGCCATATGACGTCAGCCTAGCAACGGGGTTGCTTGGGTTATTGCGTGTGAATAAGCTCCTCTCAGTGATCTATCATCTCCACACGCAATGTCGTTGAATAAGCCAAGGAGGCTGAGAGCTTTCAATATTTGTGCAGGAAACTTGTTCCTACAGTACATAAGCACGCGTTTTGGTATTACAAAATGTGTAATACAGCTGTATGTTTATCAAACGGGTGATCTCTCCACGAGCAAGTAATAACACTCCATCCCACACTGTGACATCCCAGCTTGTTCATGAAACTCCCGTCATGCACAGCGGCCCCTCGCGTAATGTCCAAATCGCCAGTAGACAACACAGTCAGCGGTCTCAAATCATAAATGTTTCTGGTGGTGTCAACACTAAGTTTGATGGCAACATTATTGGTGGAAACATAACGATTAATCTCATTAACCCTCCAAGCTCGGTTCCGGTCAAAAGACGCCGGATTGTCATTGAAAGTGATAGTGACACCGACTTATGCATCTACTCTGACCTTCTCCTTTCACATTCTTCAAGTGAGTGAGCGGTTTGATTTGAAAGCTGTATATAAGCGAAATTACACCAGAGATAGAATCACATTACACAGAATCGTTGTTGTTACTGTTAATAAAGTTTCACTTATTCTGCAAAACTCTGTCCAAATATTTTGTTTGAAATAATCCGAAATAATCAGCGAAGGAATATGCCATGAAGGAGTTAAGAGGTTGTTTATTTTGGTTCACAATGGAAAACATGTATCACTGCGCACGTTCTATACGTAAGATTACGACAAGTTGCTGATGTTAATACAAATATAAAAGGGAAACAATTATGTAAAAATGATAAATAGAATTCATCACTCATGTGTTTTAATATGGGAAATATCAACCTCGTCCCGTTAACCAGTATCGGTTGATATTTCCCCTTAAAAAAACACTCGTGATGAATCCTCTATATACTACTCTGACATTACTAACAATGTCGGCTAAATGCAGACCTATTTATCAGGAATCTGGTGAAGAAACCATCCCTACTCCTGAAGGACAAGAGATGCTGCAAGTAAACAAACCTGCTGAGCACGAATCCATTGGCGACAGGTCTACTGCCGGTAGTTACGCTAGCACTGACCACGACAACCCAGGTTCTGTTGAATATCACTCCACTGACGACGTCAACCCAGCTCCTCCCGATCACCACGGGACTGAAGAAAGCAAATCGGACTCTGATGATGGCTATGACTGCATTGCTGACATTAACCCTGCGTATGACTACATTGAAGCAATAAACGAGCCACGTACGGTAAGAGTTGAAATGGTGTATTTTTAACCCACAAAGTTATAAGTCACGGATCAGAATAAAATCATTTATTTTAATTATCTAACACCACCGTTCCATTGTGTTATGACAATTCTTGTACCGGTCTAACTGTAATAATTGTAACTGTTTAAGAATATTTCGGTGTCCCATAGGCATGACAGCAACCCTTGATTGCAGCTTCGAATTCACCATGCTTATGATCATTGGTTAACGTGTACCATATCCATGCTTGGCGTCTAAATAATATTGCAATCAGTTAGAAGATTACCAAACGAATCTGTGGTTAAGAAACTGTAAATAAGGAACACATCATAATTAAATGGTGATATAACGTACGGGGTTATCGAGTAAGGTAGTGTTACATACATAATATTTGGAGGCAGGTGGTATTTTGGTTTTATTTTTTTGTCGACCTCATACATAACTTTTAACAACCAGTAAAATGTTCAAACACAAGGTTATTTTAACGCTTGAGTGCATACACTGTAAATCCTCAAACGACGTTTTCAGATGTCACTGAGAGAAGCGGCATCTGGAAGGATCATGATTGTCGGTCTGATAATAAACCTCATTGCCGGCGCCTTCTCTGTCTTCTGCATAAGAAGAGCTGACCGGGAAGTGGCCAGCGTCAGTTTTCGACTGGCCACTGCAGTGGCTGGTACAGTATATCCAAACCATGTGTTGGTTTTAATAGTTAAATGCAACTTGAGGAAGAAAGCATGTAACAAATGCATTTTCTTTCAATTTCAAACGGAAATACGTACACAAATGCATTTCGTACATGTTATATAGCTTAAACATCTGGCAACATCGAACAGGTCGTTAAAACATATAGCACTACCTTCTATGATAATATTAAGTGTCGCTCTATTTAACTCTTTGACATATATTAACGAAGTCAAAGGCTCGGGTCATTTGCGGGTTTGAACTTGTATGTAAATTTATGTATCGGATGGCTTTGTAGAACCTGATGCAATAGCCACAAGGGCAACGTGTGTGTCTGGTGTCTATCCTTTAAACGCATTGTTTGAGTGAGTTTAGTGTTTCACCGATTTGGAAGGTATTTCCGTTATTTAACATGTTGTCAGCTTGATAATAGGGTAGAGCTGGAAGTGATGCTCATATATGGGTATATAGTGCTGACAAATCTAGAAACACAATTAGAGCCAAGCTGGTTTTCGAGTCCCCCAAGCATAGTTTCCGCCTAAGAGAACTGCGGCGCCATACATGACTTATCCAGACTCATATATTTACAGGCCTTCAAAAAAACAAACGCACAGTTAAAAAAATCAGGATATTTATTAAGCGGATATAAAAGTATCTACACAGAATATGCGTGAACACAATCAAATGGAATTAGGCACAATGATCGACAAAAGCATTGTCGTCATTGTCAGCATTAATTCAGTTCAGTAACATGTGTAGCTGCAAGGGGGCATCATGGTCAGTACCTGGTCACACAACCTCTTGCAGCCGTCACTGCTCGACACCTCCTTGGCACAGATTGCACAAGTCGTCTGATTTTTTCGTGGGGAACTCTTCGCAATTCCTCCTGTAAGGCATTGGCGAGTTGTGCCAATGTGTGGTGACGTTGACGGACGCGTCGATCAAGTTCGTCCCACAAATGTTCAATCGGGTTGAGATCATGCGATTTGGACGGCCATGGAAGGACATTGATGCTCTCATTAACAAGGAAATTAAATGTTGCACGTGCTGTGTGGGGCCGAGCGTTGTCATGTTGGAACAGCTTCATCTGGCGGTCCAAAGTTGGGTGGAGGTGAGGACGATTTTTTTTGTCTATGTATCGGTTTGCTGTAAGATTGTACTGGACAACCACTAACTGTGATCTACCCGAGTAGGATATGACTTCCCACACCATGACACTTCCGCCACCAAATCGCTCCACCTGTCGAACGCAGTTCGGCGCAAAACGTTCATGTCGACGTCGGTATACATGTTGTCTTCAATCCCGTCGTTGAAGAAGAAAACGTGAGTCATCGCTGAACCAAACGCGTCACCAGTCCCTGAGATCTTGATATCGAATTAGTGCGGGTATATCGATCCCATAGTCGAGAAATGGTGCTTTGGTGAACGTTGAATGTCTTGCAACGGCAGACTGGGACTCCCCTGCTTCCAAACGCCCAATGGCGATATTTCGGTAAGCTGCAGTTAATCTTGGCATTTTTCGATCTCCGTTCACGTCAGAAAATTCGTAATGAACTGAAGAATTTTGTATGGTCTTTTATAGTCAGTGTCTCTACTCTTGTGTCCAACATTTTGCACGTGCATTGTGCTGAAAACTTTTTCTGAAAGCAATTTCCGTGCATCCTTTGCATTTTTGCTGATAAACGTTTTAAAAAAAAACCATTTTGGGATGTGTTTGCGCGCAATGCACAACAAACATGACATGATTAAGGGGAATCAAACATAAGAATTGTCTTTATGACGATTGCTGGAAAAAGAAAATCTAATTGGAATTCTCAAAACACCAATGCGTTTCTTTTTTTGAAGAGTGCATTAACGTGACTGCGGCGTTAAATACCATACGCTCATTCAAAAAAAGAAGGTCGGACAAGTGTACAAGACCTCACGGTCATCTTGCCGGAATATGAGGCCTCAAACCATATGCTCTCGCCCAACCCTGCTTCAATATTATTTACAAGCATGCAGTAATTTCATGTATATTACAATGTATTAAGACTGAACTATTGCGATACGACGTTAGACATCATCATACTCACTAGCTCATTTCTGAAGCATACATTTCGTGATGTTTATATTCTTTTTCAGCTGTCTGCTGTGTGCCGCTTATGATCAAATATGATCTCAGGAAGGTGGCCATTGCCGGAAGTGTCGGTCTCATCTGTTTTTGTACACTGCTGACAGTGTCACTGGCAACTGGAATTGATGCCCTAATTGTTCCAGAAAGTATCATTGGGGGTATGGTTTTGACATTTTGTTATGGAAGGCAGCAGTCGGTTAAGATATGTATAGTTAATTTCATAAAAAACGGATGTCTGATAATAATCTAATTTCTTTACGTCTTGTTTTTGTTAAAAGTATTGCTGTATTTATTTATTTTACTTTAAGGGGTGGAGACGGAGGTGGGAGAAGAATTCAAATCAATTAATAGCAGTTCTAATTTGTTTACTTTGAAAATGAAATACCTGCTGAATGTAAGACAAAAGGAGCCACACGAGCCTTATAGTGGCCTATATAGTTGCGTCCCTCAGCTGTACCAGGATCCTCAGATCAAATGTGTGCTCGCCATAGTATGATTCTTTGTTTGCGCGATAGCCGTGTTGATGGGTTTCAACAAAGCAGTAAATGTCCACGATCTGCATCACTTCGAGTTGTTCTCCCACATGAAGCTGACACGCACTAGTATAACTGAAATACTGTTCAAAGCGGCGTTAAACCCAACTCATTCATTCAAGCAGGAAACCACCGGGAATGCAGTAAATACATATTGTTACCTCTTTCCCCTCGTTATTGTTCCTTTAATAATGAAGTAGTTATATTGTGTATCATATTTTATTCGTCTTTATAAGAGATCCTACATGTTTAAATACAAAACATAACATTTAAGCTAATATTTGTAAAAACACCCATATATATATTACAGGTACTGCATACGGCCTTTTGGGTACAGCTGGATTTGTAGGCACCATCCTCCTCCTCCCTGGCCGCCTTGCTCTCGCTGTCTTCATCAGTTACGTCGGATGCGTCATTGGAAACATCATCGGCATCACTATCAGCTATAAAGTTGATCCCTTGAAGTCTCCGTATGCTTTGTGGACACTGCCTGCGCTTGGTCTGTTGTGTTGCAAGTTCCTTTCACACTACGAGAGAACAGGAAATATAACCAATGTTTTGAGACATTCTTCATTTTATGTCACGTTGATAATGAGAACGTCAGTCTCTATTGGTGAGTTTTACATCTTTTCAAAGCCATTCAGTCAGATAAAGTTTTGTTGTACCTTCTGGCAACAACTGATTAAATTTTAATGTTTCCTTTAACAGCAACAGGGGAGCTACACACTGACGACTACACACATTTTAATAACAATATATGATGGATTGATAATGAAATATTTTATAAATGTGCCAGATCAAATACAATATTTCCAACAACTATCTGAGTTTGTTCAATGAATTATTTGTATTCAGTTATAATGAAAAGAATATCTGTTTCTGTTTGAATTTTTACCTCACACGGGTATTCTCCATATTATGGAGGACCATACAGAGGTTTTTTTCGGACACGTAGTTCAGACATAAAAGACATATAGTCTAGAATAAATACGGATTTATTCTGCCTCATAAGTTCTCATTAGCCCATGATTGCCGTAAGAGCCGACCAGAGAGGATCGAGTGGTCAGACTTGGTTATATTGCTGAATGTGTGTGTGTAATAGGTGCTCATACCTTAGTTCAAAGGTTTGCCTGTTGGAGGCTCAATTATTTACAGACCGATGTAACACAGCTGGAATGTTTGCTGCAAATCACCCACGCAGTCTTCAGTGGTGGCGTATGACCTTATGCATAGTGCAAAAGTCACAATCCACTGAAGTTAAGCAACTTGGGTGAACACTTGTGAATTGGTCATTCCGTAGAGTTTCTGTACTACCCGTGACGGCACCACAGTTAATACATCATGTATGTCTCATTTGACAAGTGACCCGACCTTCCCCTCTGTTAACCCAGTAGGTATTAGGGGCCTGGTGTAATGAGATTGAATGTGGATTGAATCTAATATTTCATATGCTTTCAGCAGGGTTTTTTCGATGTCAATACCACTTGGTTGCTTCTATTCACTACACTTATCACTATTTATTTTTTCCAGGATTGGCAATCATCCCATCGCTGATCAAAACTGTGTCCATTGCAGAAACACAATATTTTCTGTTCCTTGTCCTCTTTGGAAGTCAAGTAATGTACATGGTTATTTTGGTAATGGGTGTCAGGTTTTGGAGAGAAAACCTGCGGAATCCTAGCCCAACACCTTTGGGAATGGTCGTCCTGATGATCGGACTTGGCACCTTGATCCATCAGGTTGTAACTATGAACGTGTGGATTGTGGGAGTCTATATGGCCTTGCTTGGGATAGTATTGGGTATGATACACTGAAAATATCAATTTATGTTAGAAACAACATTTCAAGATCTTCTCTTAACATTAACCATTAACGACATGTGTTCAAATCTTGTATCAGTTTTCTCAAACCAGACCTGTCAAGTGTGGCTGCAAGGGAAGCATCTCTAATGTTGTCGATTAGCCCACACGATAAGAGTCATCTTCAATCTTCAATTAATACTTAGTTGATCAATATTTTGATAAATAGTACACTGCAATGGCAATATATAACCCTTGCACCTCTTGGACAATCGATTAATGTCACCATTTTCAGAGTTACTTAGTATTTTTTCTGACTTGATGGGTAACATTTGTTTATAAAAATGTTATGTGTTCATGGATCGGTGGTTTTCACCTCGTCATCGTGGTGTGACAGGCTGAGCAGATGCTTCCCTTAGTCTAGCAAGAATCCGAGATTATGTAATTAGGTTTATCAACACCATACCAGTGCTAATGGGTTTAAATACAGTGGTAAACATCGAAGACATGCATAGTTTGTGTTTCACTCATTATCAGCTGCAATATAATAAGTAGTGTTCAAGACGTCGTAAACACAAATCACGCACACCTTTCTCCGTCTTTCAGTTGGCTTGCTTAAAAAAGTAAACATACAATGTGTCTTTTGCAACAGCTCGTCCATTATTGCAATAAGTATTTCTCATAGTAATCTTGACCTTGCAGCATACTCTCACGTAATGATGCCGCTGGTCATGCTGCATGCTACGGGCACTGCCAACTGCAGACAGACCATTCCTGTCTTGAGATGCTGTGACGAAGTTGGTATAATGCTGGGTGTCGTCGTTCTCGGTAGGAAAGATGCTGTATAGTTGTCGTTAACCTATATTTGAAAGTTATATACATTTCATAGTGATAATAATCTCATCAATAACGAGCAAGTTTTCTAATTTATCTTCTTTCTGTTTGTTACATAACATATATCTTCTATTCACTGAATGGTCCAGTGAAGTTTGTTCAAAATTTCTAGTCCTTAAGATTGTCTTCACTGGATAGTTTTCGGTTGTAAAAGGCCTTGTACAAGGAACGATAATGTCTCCGTACAGAGGGAGATCTATTGCTGGCTCCAGCAAATGTACCACCAAATCCCTGTCTCAAAAATTAACCATTATTCTTAACAAAGTCAAGGAATGACTTTCTTTATATTCACAGAAAGTATTCGCGACAAATCATATCATGTGAGTTCTTAAAAACTCAAAGGATTTGTTTCAACATTTACAATCTCACAACAGATTGTTCACTGTCACTTATGTCACAACTGACACTTATGTCACAATATTTGATTTTTCACTTAAACACCACTATCACACACGACAAACGTAAGGAACGGAATCATTCCTTGATCTATCAGGCATTTGTCACTTAACGGGTTAACCATAGATTTTGTTACGTCACTATCTTCAAAGTTTCAGGGCAATTTGTTTAAAATGAAAACAAGTGCCATCTGTAGTTTACAAAGGAAACAGTATGTGAAATGATAGACTTTCTTATTGATAACATCTAGGTGATATTTGGGGGAAGGACATTTAGGCAAAAAAGTAGGCATCCCATTGGTCTCCAATTGCGCTTCCTTTCTTACTGATATGTTTCTTAATGCATATGGGTTTCTCCTCATCTTGGCAAATTCAAAAAAAGGACAATTGGGCTTAATTTAAGCATCAGGTATATCAACGATCTGAAAGCATTCACCATGGCTTTATTGAAAATGTCATTTTTGGACACATTTCATCCACTGCATGTTTGATTATGAAATTTAATATGCTCCAGTAATGTTGTTTTCGGGATAACATATAATACGTTTCGTGGCATATTAGGCTGATCTAGCTTTGACTACTGACTTTCAAGTACCCACGTTTTTTTGTGTTTGGCATTTCGACATCTCCTCTGAACCTAAGAACGCAAATTGTGCAAGTTTGGAAAACCATATGTTAGACCCCACCACACACTAGCCTATCATCAAATTATCTTCATACATTGGGGAGCATTGACATGGAAACCTAACTTGACTTAAAAAACAAAGGGTTCGAGCACCACTGGATGATGTCGGCAGAAAGATTGTACAGGCAACGTTTCACCATCCAACACTTTTAAATTTAGGAGAAACTTGAGAAATAATTTCAAGCAGGCTACAAGTGTCCACGGACGAGGGACCGCCGATTTTGCCAATTTGACTAGTGTGTCAAGTCCCAAACAACCATTGCTTCAGCAGTCGGCTTAGGACCTACAGCACGTTAAAAGGTGTTCTTGTTCATGACAGACTGCTTGAAAGCAACACGACCTTGTAATCTCCAGTAAACCCGACACTGACTTTTGCAGTTCAAAGACTTTCTATCTTCTCCTGTGGTACTGTTTGACTGTTGAAGCTGAGATTTGGCATGCAGGTTCCATCTTGTGAAGACATTTTATCTTGTGATCAATGTGATTTTAAAAAGGAATATAAAAAAATTAAATATCACAAACAGTTTTAAAATCGCACTCTAAAGAATCACGGGGCACAAGGCGTAAACTTATGAAGATCCAAGTATGTACAAGGCATCTCCATTTGCACTGATCATTGTTGTCCTAAACGATGTTGCAAATAAAGCGTTTCCTTTCCTTTCCTTTTCCAGAATCACAGCACATGTTTTCTTTTCCTCATTTACTTCCCTCATATTTTCCATAACCTTCACGGAAAGTTGATATGTGTAGATATGCTACTCAAATAGTTTCATGTTTATGTCTATGCTATTGCAGATAGAGAGACATTTTGGACACAGAATGGAGCCTTGTACTTTGCCGGAGGGATTCTCGTCGTGTCCGGGGTCGGCATCCTACTGGCGAGAGGCTACTTGAGACGCCCGCCTCCTCTGACAGATGAGGCTTTATCAATAGTTGGCTAAAACACGGGATAGTCGCGGGTATTATTCTACATGTACATAGAGATCAATTAGCAGCATGTGTGTATGGCGACTATCTCATAACTATCGAATGTTGTCAACAAAGCTGTCTTCACATACAATTTGGATATAATTTCTTTCGTTTGAGGGACGAATTAGAACGAAATTATTTTCTACTAACGTCGGAAAGCACAACAAAGGGGGGCAACCCCGCTTTTAATTTCGAAAAAAAATCTTTATTTCTGTTGAAATTACCACCAAAGACAATAAATAGATCTTAATTGTGCACCCCCCCTTTTCATAAAAGCTGTATCCGCCCATGGGTATACAAGTAAAGGCGCGAAGCTGAAACTTCATTCTGAGGTGCAGTGCACGCGGAGCTGGCTATATTAAACATGTTCAGTTATGTATGATGCCGGTTGAAGTACAAATCGGGTGAATCGTTACGTGTTTTTTTTATGTGTGTAGTGGCTGCTGCTGTCCATATGATGATCGGGATGTTATGGGTTGTTTGCAAGTTGTGTTGGCGAGCCATGATAATACATTGTGAGATGGATTGGTATCCATAGTTGAAATCTCGAACACTCCAGTTGTGAGAGGATGGATTTGGGATATACACTGATGAGTATATGCGCTGACGAGCCATTAGAACATGTGATTGGGCGTCGATGCCTGTGATTATTATATACGTTGGAAATGTGAGGCATCGAGTTTATATTCATGTGAATCACGATGTGTAGATGGTCATGATGCTGTTGATGTTCGTGATGCGGACGATGTTGATGATAATGTGGATTTATGTTGAAGAATAAACTGCGGTCACTCAGTGCACCGCACAGTGTCCCAATATGTTGTAGTTGTGTATTTTGTTGTGTTGAGGGGGTGAAGGAGGAGAAGTCTGTCATCACTTACGACGGTGCTACCGATCAGGCAGTTTGAGTCCACTCTGATGTCATCCCATTGATAACAGGATTCCGTGGGAGGGTCTTGAATTTGACCTTTACAAATTGAATCTTTACTTCTAATTTATTAATGAAAATGATTGAATATGGGATATTTAATTTAATGTTTCACCTCAAACTGTTTCCATCATCTGTGGATTTGCTTTCGTCATACATTCAATGTTTTTGTAGCTCTGCCGAAAAACTTTTGTCAGATATTGAAATGTTTTGGAAAACAAATCCACCAGATTACAGATTATTGCACTTGTGTGTGTGTGTGTGTGTGTGTGTGTGTGTGTGTGTGTGTGTGTGTGTGTGTGGCTCACTCAGATACCATGCCGCAGTTTAACATGAATACCCTACTCAGACACAGTATACTGACTCCGAGCCGACCAGTCCTTGTTTTAGCCCCTTGATGCCGGGCGCTAGATAGGGTAACAACAAGTAGCATCTTTTAACGTATTTTGGTATGACGCTCTCCGGGCGGACGCTCTACCACTAGACCACGGAGGCGGTCCCCTTCAGTTAAGGAAAATAGGGAATGCTTTTTTCAGGTTTGCTCCATTATTATACCAATATCAACTGTCAGCTGCGAATGCTGGGAATATTCAGCTAGAATCAGATAAATAAAGTCAAGTCCCGTTAATCCGACATTGTTGGTTGCTTATGATTATGTCGGATTAACGAGTATGTCGGATAAACAAAATTAAGTAGTATCAACGTTAGTGATCGAAAATCTGACAACTACACGATAGATAACGATTCAAACATGTACTAAAACAGGAAAAAGGAAATGTTCATTTTGTTATGTTACATTGTTAGCGGAATATGTTTTCTAATCATGCAACCTCACAATACTACACATTACTACTGTTATGGACTTGTATGACTGTTTCAAAATAATTTTTAAAGCATAGTCTGGAATGGAAGTCGCCAATTTGAAACTAGTGCGGCAATGCTTAAGAAAGCTGCTTCCTTAGTGGCTAATGTCGACCTCCTGTTAGTAATTTCATTGGTAGCGAGAGCTTGTATCCGATTTAATGAGATTAAGGTAATCTAGGCATGTGATTAATCCTGTTTTGTTTATTTTAAGCAGTAATTGTTTATTGTTAAGCAAGTATATTATTAACGAGACTGATTAATAAGTAATTCCAGCAATTCGTTGAAAAATAGGTGTGTCGGAATCAGAGTGCAAGACTGTCGGATTAACGGGTCTAAATAGCATTGATTTAATCGACTTCGTTTCCTATACCAAGCTCAAACATCAGTAAACAGTAAATAAGAAAGCGTACAACTTTATGGATAACAACTTTTGGTTTATTGCATATAGCGACGTTTCGATGTAGTGAGTGTTCGTAGTGTAGTGAGTGTTTTGGGTTTAAAGCCGCTTTTAACAGTATTCCAGTTAAATGTAGGAGGAGTCGGAAAGCCCGAAGAGTTTCATTCTCAGCTCCCTGTGAGGCGCTATAAGGTTACCATCTCATCCTACCTGGGTACCCACTCAGTGCTGGGTGAACAGAGGCACATTTCGAACAAAGTCACTTGCCTAAGGTGACACCACATGTGCTGCAGGCAGCAGTGTGGGGCAGGACCCAAGCTCTAGAAACTCTCAGGAGTCAAGCTGCTTAACGTGGTCACCCATCCAACTACTCTCCGAGAACCGACGTTGCTTAACTTCACCTGATGTGAGACGTGTGCGCTGTGCATAGGGCCACATGCGACCACACGGATAGACAATAGAAGGTGGTGTGGGTCATCTCAAAACGTTTATTTCCATTGTACATTGGGATATATCATTTTTATATCAATTGCAACTTCGTCATCTTCTATAATTTTATTTTTATAACTACAAAATATCTGATTTCCTTTACAAAGAAACGAACCAATTGCCCAAACTGTACATGATAATATTGTTGTTCTAACTAACCTGAAGGCTCTCCTTCGTATATTGTTGGGATACATGCAGGTTTGCTGTCACGCTTCACTTGATCCTTCACGCTAGCCAGGAACTTGTCCACTAGTACTTTTTGATTGGTTCGGAAGGTGGTTGTGGATGTGTCTGTATGTGGTGATGAGGCGATGCTAGGTGTTGATGTAGGCCGGACAAGTAGAAACACAACATTTCCAATGTATATTTGCATCTCATCTCGTCTTCTCTTAACTCGGAACTTCTGGTCCTAGAATGCAAGACACGCCTTTAGTCAGCGCCAAATCTGTAGGTCTACAGGATGCTCTTTACACTGTTACAGAGAGTTCATATGACCGGAGATTAACTTACAATACCAATAAAAGCCACAACGTTATATTGATTAGATTGAATTCCCAACATAATCCCTTCAAATTTCAGCTGGGTAGTGTTCCTATTGCAACATCCGATAGTGTAACATATAGGGTAGTCATTCTAAACATTGCACTACATGTACAAATATGATGGCGCGATGTTGCCAAAACGCAAAACTCAAAACGCACAGTAAGCTCAGTCAAGTCGCTTGGATGTTGCATGTTTTAAAATATGGCACCGAATAGTTCTCTCTACTATTGTTTATGCGTGTGAGCTGTTAAGCGGCATACGCGGTAAAGATACTATTTAGATAGAGAATACTCAACGGCACTTTGCAAGAGTCATTCAAGCTGTAGACCAATAATAATCAACTGATTCAACCCTAGCGAATCTAGGAATGTGAACACCAACAGGACATATATATAGACAAATGCAGGCTACTACTCCTCGGACGACTGTGTACAAACTCATGCTACGAAACATATTATATGTGCATACTAAGCCTCAGTCAATGTTCATACTATCAAAACTAGCACTTGCATATGTAACACAATGATATTAACTGCTTGTAAATATAACCTTAAAAATGTCTTTTTCAACTTTATCAGTACTGGAATATTTCCTTGGAAAATTGAATGGAGAAAAATCGTTTGTGATGCAATATCCTTATATGAGGAAGATCGGTAGAAACGCTGACTTTCACTGACCGAGGATGTGGTCAGATACAGGTCAGTACACTCAAAACTTAAACTTCATGTATTATGGAAACTAGCACTAACTTATCCTCGTCTTAGATATTGGATCCAATACTCCCTTCAAATAGCTTCCCGACACATTACATCAAGAGAATGTTGTAAATGTGGCTGACATGTACTTCTACATTGTGAATATTTTATAAATCATAAATGATCGAAATGAATTCTTCTCAACCCTCATTGACAAACTAGATATTGAAAGTTATATTCCGATGTTACCTTATCAATTATACGAAATCAGGCTGAGTTAGGTTCACGTGCACCTTGGTGTCAGTCCCTAAGCTGGACGTGAACTGAGATGCCAGGCCAGGCCATTTAATGTGTTTCCAAAAAGGGGAAAAGTGAGTTTGTGCAACCCTTTAGGGGTTGCTTATATAGTAATTTTGAAATTTTGAGATTTGGAAAGAATGCCAAGAGTGGGTGGGGGACGAACTAAAGGAGCTGTGTGTGTTGGGTGGTTGTTAGATAAGGTAGTTTTGGTTGTAATATTTTATTTGGGGTTTAAATGCGACTAATTAGTCCTGTTTTTATTAGGTATATGCCTAAGGCTTTGAATTTTTCTAATTTAGTTTGTGGATTTAGGATTGATTCTAGTGTAAGTCCGGTTTTAAGATTTAGGGTGGTCTGTAGTGTTATTCGGTGTGTTTGGTAGTGTGTGCAGTGAATGAGTACGTGTTCTTGTGTTTCTTGTTGTTTGCAATGTGGGCAGTTTCCTGTTGTGTGTAGATTAGCTATTTTACGGTGATTATTTAGTTTCGTGTGGCCTTTTTGTAGTTTAGTAATTATTCTGTCGATTTTTTTTGGAAGGGTGTAGTATTTTTGGTTTATTTAGGTGTTTTTTTTAGTACTTTCCTGATTTGGCTATTTGAGTTTTGGTATATATTTTGCCATTTTTTGTTGATTTTTTGTTTAGTGACACTTTTGATTTCTGATTTTGAGCTGGGTAAGTTTAAGCTTATTTCTGGGAGTTTAAGGGATAGTTTTGCTGCTCTATCTGCCTTTTCATTTCCAAAGATTCCTACGTGGGCGGGGATCCAAATGAACTCTATTTGTTTACCTGCCTTAGTTAAGTTGTTTGAGCTATTGAGTATTTGAGTTATTAGTTTGGGTCGGTTTTTAGTGTTTTTATTTTTGAGGGCTTGTAGTCCACTGAGGGAGTCGGTTAGAATGAGGATTTTTTGGTGTTTTTTAGATTGCTGATTGTGTAGTGCTGAGGCCATGCCCATTAGTTCGGCCGTGAATATGGATTGGTTGTTTGGGAGTCGGTAAGAAAGTGTGTTTTTGGTTGGTGTTGCGATGTGGACTCCGAAACCTGTGTGTTTTGAGATCGGATCTGAGGATCCGTCTGTGTATATGTGACACCAATTTGGCCAATTTTCATGTATGTATGCCAGTGTGGCGGTTTTAGCGATGTTAGGGTCGGTCTGTTTATTTAGTGTATCGGCTAGTGTTGTGTCTATTTTTGGTATTTTAAGTTTTGGAGTGAAGATATTGGATGATTTATTGTTTTGTTTAAGATTATTTATTTTGTTTTCATTTAGGTAATTGGTTATTCTTTGGGAAATTGGAGTAAGTAGTGGATGTTTCCGGGCTAGGGCTTGGTTTCTAGGGCTAATATTGTTTTTTATTAACTTTCCGATTAGAGGGTTTGATTGGGACGCGGCCCAGAAGTTTAGGGTAAGTTGTTCCCTACGTAGTTTAAGTGGCATTTCTCCTGTTAAGGCCTGGGGTGAAGTGGAGGAGGTGCCATGTTGAGTTCGTGTGATTAGTTTTAGGGCCTGATACTGGATCGAGTCTAGTTTTTTAATGAGAGAGTTGTTTAAGGTGTCGTAAATGGCACTGCCATAGTCTAGTTTGGATCTAATTAGTGATATATAGAGTGAGAGGAGGGTGTTTTTAGAGGCCCCCCAGTTGGAGCCGGTTAGGCATCTTAACGTGTTTAGGTCTTTGCTGCATCTGGTTACTAGGTTTTTAATGTGAGCATCCCAGGTGAGATGTTCATCGAAGATTAATCCTAAGAATTTGGTTTGTTTTTGGAATTTGATTGGTTTGTTGTTTAGTTGGAGGTTTAGGGAGGCGGGTTGCATATTTTTGTGTTTAAATACTCTTCCTGTGTTTTTTTCTGAGTTTAGGGAGAAGCCCCATTTGTCAGCCCATTTTTGTATTTTATTTAGAGATTTTTGTAGTAAGTTTTGGGCCATTTTAATGCTTTTAGTGCGGATCCAGAGGGCTCCATCATCCGCGAATTTTGATGTGTTTACTTTGGGGGATAGTCCCTCGAATAGATCGTTAATCATAATTTTGAAGAGTGTTGGGCTTAGGATGCTGCCCTGGGGAGTGCCATTTTCTAGGGGACATTGGTCCGATAGCGTTTGGTCTATGCCCACGGTGATTTTGCGGTTTGTTAGGAAACTTTGGATGTAGTTAATTATTTGACCTTTAAGACCTATTTTTTTTAGTTTTTGTATTAGCCCGTTATGCCAAACCATGTCGAATGCTTTGGAGAAGTCTAGAAAGATGCCTGTAGTATATTGTTTGTTAAGTTGGCCTGTTTTAATGTCCTGCTCTAGTCGGGCGAGGTTATCTAAGGTTGAGCGTCCAGGAGTGAAACCGCTTTGGTCTGGATTTATTATGTTGTTTTGTTCTAAATAGTGTTGTAACCTGTTTTTGGCCATTGCTTCCATTACTTTGCATAAGTTAGAAGTTAGGGAGATTGGTCTGTATGAATTAGCCTGGTCAGCTGGTTTATTGGGTTTGGGGATTGGTATGACCAGGGCTTGTTTCCAAGGTGATGGGACCTGTCCGTTTAGATATATGAGGTTATAGAGTTTCAGAAGAGTTTGGAGTAGTTTGGGTGGTAGTTGTTTAATTATCTGGTATGAAGTAAGGTCTAAGCCTGGGGCTGTGCCCTTTTTCCTATTTTGTAGGACGTGGAGTAGTTCTTCCATTGTGAAATGGAGATTAATTTCTAGGTTATTATCTTTTGGCTCTTTGGTAAATTTGGTTTCTGATTTTAGTTGTTCCTGGAATTTTTGGTTGAAGTTGCTATTGCTACTGACGGCCGAGAAGTGATTTGCTAGGTTATTAGCTTTTTCAGTGGGGTTTGTTGAATTGTTTATGTTGGGAGTTTTTTTATGACGTTTAATGCCCCTAATGGCGTGGATTTTGCGCCAAACTGTTCTGGCGTCTGTATGATGGTTAATTTCTTCGCAAAAAAATTTCCAGTCTCTAGTTTTAGCTGTTTTAACTAAGCTTTGTACTTTGTGATTTAGTTCATGTGCTATCTTTAGGTGTTTGAAGTCACGTTTGGCTTTATTGAATGCGGATTTGCGTTTACGTCTAGTTTGTTCTATCTCCTCGTTCCACCAAGGAACCGAGGGTTTGCCTATGTTGGTTGTTTTGAAGGGAATTGAGTTTTTAGCTGCGTTTATTATATAGTCAGTGAGGTTTTTACAGTAGATTTCGGGGTCGTTACTCTCTAGGTCAGCTAGGTTAGCCTGGTTGCAAATTTCCTGAAATTTGTCCCAGTCGGCTTTGTTGTAGTGGAATTTAGGTTCCTGGTTTTGGGTTGGTGTTTGGATGTTTACGTCTCCTATAGTTATATTTATGGGGAAGTGGTCACTACCTAGTGGTACCCCGTGTACTTCCCATTGAATACTTTGGGCTAAATCTGGGGTGCATATGGTTAAGTCGATAGCCGACATTTTGTGGTGTATTTTATCGTATCTAGTAGGTTGGTTGTTATTTAGAAGTATTAGGTCATTTTGTTCTATCCATTCTGAGATGAGTTTTCCGTGTTTATCTTTTTTATCTTCTATATTAAAACGCTTTAGTACTAGCATTTGGTGAGTTTTGCTTATGTAGGCTAGGAGTAGTGTGAGGTTATTAAGAGTTTTAGTGCTAGTTAATTGAGGATTTTTGCGCCTGAAGTTTTTGTTTGTTTTAGGGGCTGAGAAAGTGATTTCATTTATTTCCTCGGTGGAAGAATACTCGTCTTCGTCGTTTAGGTTGGTTTTTATTGTTTGAGTTTCCATTGGGGAGGCTTGTGGAGGTGTTTGTGGTGTTGGGGGTTGAGTTTGTGCTTGCGTGTTGGGTGTAGCTGTGGTTTCCTCAGTGTTTGAGTTTTATTTTTGTGCTTGCTTGTGGGGAAGTGTTGTTGCCTTGTGGGCTGTATAGTGTCTGGCTATGGGTCGTTGTGTGTCTGTGGTTTTGCTGTTTGCTTTGCATGCGGGTGTTGATGTTATGGGGGAGTTGGTAGGTAGCTGTGTGAGGTGATGTGTGGATGTGGATGTGATGCGGTTTCTATGTGGTTGCCCCAGAGGGAATCAGTGAGTTTGTGTGTGGTGTTTGAGAGTGGTGTGGGGAGGAGAGGTTTGGATGTAGGTGGTGCATATTTTCTTGTTTGGATTTTGGACGAATCTATGTTTATGTGTTTGTTGGCCTGTTGTGTTAGGGCATGTCTGTGCGGACACTGGTTTGAGAGTGATGTATGTTTTATGCATTTGCAATGGATGCACCAGGGAGCGCATGTGCATTTTTTACATTTAGTTTTTTTGAATGTACATTGGGTGGCCGTGTGGTTATATCTTAGGCAGTTAGAACATTGTTTGACCTGTTTGATGTATGGTTTAACTTCTAGTTTAGTGTGGGCACCGAAAGAGATGTGTTTAGGGGCTTCAGGAAATTTAGCAGTTTTTTTAAGTTTACAATAACGATTGAGGTAGGGACCGTTTTGCCGTTTCTGTTTGATGTTATCCTGCGGGTGCTGGTTATTTGGGGTTGAGGGTATTGATTTGTGTTTGCTTCTTGGGTGTAGAGGTTGTGGCAAACCGAAGATAAACCGTATATATGCATGACATGTTGTGATAAGCAGCAGATTAACATTGAGAACAACAAGTAATAGATAACAGGTAGTATACAGTTAATTGGATGAAGCCAAATGTACAGTAAAAATAACAAATAGCACACAGCTGATGTACAGCTGGATTAAAGGATTAAACAGCTGTGACAAACTGATTGGATCCTTATTAAAACAGTCTATTGCTTGATTAGATCAACATTGGCAGACGAGATGTAATACTACATAATCTTACATCTCATCTGCCAATGAGTATTTTTTTTATATAAAAAACATTTGCTAAATTTTAGTATTATCGAAAACATGTAACCGTATGGACAAAACTTTGACTGATACATTTTCCCTTCCTCCATACTACATGATAATTTATAGCCAAACTATTGCTGTTTATCCCATTTTATTTGGCCAGACAGTACGTTCAGATAGCTTTAATAGGGCTCTGATAATAACGGCTATTTGTTTTTAATCTCCTTCAATGCATGTGAATATAGACAGGGCGCTAAAATCAATGACATTCCCTGGTATTTCTGTGACATCTCGTTCCTGGTTAGATTGACACATCCTAATGATGTTTGTGTGTACTCCTTTATGAAAACTTCACTAAAAAGTTTACAATAAGAATAATATTTTGCACCTATGAAACCTGAATAATTAGCAGTAATGAAGCCAACCACGCCAGTCTTACTTGCTACAATCATATTTGCAGTTTAAGAAACACTGTTGAAATGTAGTGACTTGTTTCATATCTGTAAATGCGTCCTCAATTTGTAGGCGGCAAATTCTTAGGTCAATATGTCAATCGTTATTTTTTACATTCAAAACCTTGTGACTGCATAGCCTGATTATTGAAACTGTATATTGAGATACAGCGCGTAAGTTAGTTTTTTAGATATCTAGTGGCATTGGGCTAACTGAAGTTTAATGTCACACTGAATTATTCATGCACTTTTACAAACAAAATATGATACCGGAAGCAATTGCATCAAAACGTTTTACTAACGTATCGAGAGTACTTGTGGTGTTAATTCGTGTTTTATCTCAGTCCACAACTTGTAAACCTTGCTTATTGAAACTGTATATTGAGATCAATCCTGTCGGTTTGGGAAAACTAAAGCTATGAAAGCAACATTTTCTTGTTGCGCTAGGATTGAATCACTCTAGAGTGACCTGATCCTAGAACTGACATACCCTATTTACATGTACATATATACATAAATATATAGACATGTGCATATCTACAGTAAGTAATTTACAGTTAAACAAACGATAGACAATATTTTGAATAGCGGTATCTAGCGGTAAAATATTTCTTTGATACTATACTAGTTGTTTTACTGTCCTCAGTTGACACGTCTTAGCTATATAGAAGTATATGGCGGCAATGTTATAGATGCGAAGATTCACATGAATTGTCCGATCCTTGGGGTTGAGATTCTTTAACATTCAATTTGCTCAGTATACAAGAAGAAAAAGTAATTATTCAATTTCTATTCCCTGAAAAATCTTATCGAATTTGCAGGTGTCCATCCGTTGACTCACTTAAATAGGGTTACATTGACTTTAATATTTCCTTAAAATAAACAACAACAAAAACAAAACTGGAATGAATACACATGAAATAATTCATTTGCATTTGGGTCATAATATTAGCAAACCTTTCCTTAGTGAAACCGAAGTCACACTACATCCGGGTACATTTTCGACAACGAAAAGAAACTATTCAGCAATGAAACATTCATATGAATATTCAACCAAAAACTAAATGAAACTTCCCCGAAACACACCATGGTGTAACGACTTCATTTTGTCGTTCATTGCCTCCAAGTAAGGTGATCAACATACGGTCTGGCTACAAAGAACACATATTACACTGACGTTACCAACAATGTCGGCTGAATTCAGATCAACTTCTCATCATGAACTCGGTCATCATGAAATCACCCGTACCCCTGACGGACAAGAGATCCTGGATGAAAACAGTCCTGCTGAGCACGTATCCATTGACGAAACGAAATCTACTACCGATAGTAATGCTCGCACTGACCTCAGTAATCCAGGTTCTGTTGAATATCACTACATTGACGACGTCAACCCAGCCTCTGCCTATCAACAGCTGACAGAAGAACGCCAGTCGAAAGCTGATGGTGACTATGAATGCATTGCTGTCACCAACCCTGCGTATGATTACATTGAAGCAATGAACGAGCCACGTACGGTAAGAGTTGAAATCGCATGTTTTTATGGCATAGGTTACAAAGTTTATTTAAAGATTCACTGAATTTGTTTCGGTTCATGTGGGAGATCAACGTCAGATTTGTTTAGATTTGTGGGTTTCATTGACTATTCGATGGCAGGATATTTCATTTGAAACACTTGAATTGCCTTTGCATGTGTTTGTGACGGGTGCCGGTTTGTGTGCCAGTGATATCATCTGAATCGTTCCATCATGACCTCTGCAGGGATTTCTTCTGTTTCATTCACCCTCTCATTGCATGTACTTAATTAATCACAGGTCGTTTCTCAGTTATATATATATAGTACTACATACATGTTAATACCAAATTTCTTGTGTTCATGTTCATGATTTCTTCTTTGTATGTAACATAGCACTTCATTTATATTGCATACATAGTACTAAAATACGAACAACTTCAATTCAATTTGTATGCGGAAACAACTATGTCATGAAAAGGGGTCATAAGAGATATTTAATTCATAAGCCCACATTTGCTAGCCAATCTAAACATAACTTATATTACAATATTAAAGAAGTTATTATCCATAAATTGTGTCTACTTTGTCATCCGTCAACTTCTAGGTAATGCCTATCAAACAATTCAATCTAAACATAACCCATAACACAAATATAAGAAGAAATCCAGTTTGCTTCAGGAACGGAACCAAAATAGAGAAACAGAAGGAAACCAGTGTGTCGCAATGTCATCACTGACATAGTACAAATATTAATATGCTATTTCTTGGTTATTTCAGCCTGCATCAAGGAACAGTGCTGTAGATAAGTGTAAGAAGACCATGCCTTTTCTTGGTCCAATATTTGCCAGTGTGACAGTGAACATCATAGCTGGGTTCTTCTTTTCCTTCCCGTTTCTTGTCCCTGTCATCTCAAGAAGAGCATTCAGTGAAGAGACGGACCCGGACGTTAAAATCCCAAACATATATTGGGCGTGTTCTGGACTGGCAGGTATATTAAGATGAATGAGTGGTTATGGCTGGTGCCGCTTTATGCAATTGTTCAGCAATGCAATAGCACGGCGGGGGACATCCATCAGAAATGGGATACACACATTGTTCCCGTGTAGGGGAATCGAACCCGGGACATTGGATTGACGAGTGAGCGCTTTATTCACTGTCCCAATTACGAATTAGTCCCTTTAAGCTAAATGAATCATGGTAACCAACCTCACATCTGTCTGTAATTTTCAATGTCAATAGACAGGGATTATATACTAGCCACATAAAGAAACTGTGCACGGAGAAAATATAGATATAAGGGCCCACCGTCCATATATGAAATATAGGTTTGAACACAGCAATTATTGGAGACATTCAAACGCTCATGCACGTGCCATGCGATATGACGTCATTGATGGGGGCCTATGGACGTGCAATGTGTTACTGCACGTGCATCCTGTGCAGCTGTACACAGCATGTGCAACTCAAAATTCGCTGTCACTTTGGAAAGTATGATCTGTGGTCATTCAAAAATTCAAAACTTCTCAGGCGCAGACACAAGCATATCACAAGCAAATCATGCCAAGATTGACAGCTGCACAGCGTCATGAAGCCATTGGAATAATCCGAGCGGGAATGAGGCAACAACAGGTGGCAACACATTTCCAATGCCATCGTAACACGATATCGGCATTGGTGAGGCGTTATCAGAACACAAATGACGTTGCCGACCACCCACGTTCAGGACGTCCCCGAGTAACGACGCCAAGACAGCACAGATGGATTCGAGTTACACATCTCCGACACAGGTTCCAAACGGCAGTAACGACGTCCCAGACAATTCCTGGACTGCGCCGTATCCATCCCAACACTGTCAGGAATCGTTTACGTCAGTACGGGATTCGACCACGACGCCCTGCCATACGTCCCATCCTGACACACCGTCATCGAGTCAACCGTCGAAGATGGTGTCGAAATCATGTTCGCCAACCTCGAGTATGGTGGAGAAATGTTGTCTTTACAGATGAATCGAGGTTCAACGTTTCCCACAGTGACGGGCGCCAACGTGTCTACCGGCGTTTGGGAGAACGTTATGTACGCAACTGTATTGTGGAGAGGAATCGTTTTGGAGGTGGCTCTGTGGTGATTTGGGGTGGGATAACAGCACGGCACCGAACCCCTTTGGTGGTTGTTCACCGGTGTTGGCTACAGAGATCAGATTCTGAGGCCTGTGGTCATTCTTTTCCTGCAACGTCATGGCCCGGGATTGACATTTCAACAGGACAACGCTCGTCCTCACACGGCTAGGGTCGCAATGGATTTCCTTCACCATAACAATGTCATGTTACTGCCATGGCCTGCAAATTCTCCAGATCTCTCCCCAATAGAGCATGTGTGGGATGAAATGGAGCGCCGTCTGCGTCGTCTTCCACATCCTCCAGATAACGTCCGTGACTTGGCACAGGATTTGAGGAGGATATGGCAGGCCATTCCCCAGGCCTTCCATGTCCATTTGGTGGACTCCATGCGTCACCGATGCACTGCTGTGATTCACGCACCGGATGGTCATACCCGTTATTGACTTTGTGACTTTGTCGTTTGACCCCCTACTCCATTTTGATCTTCTGACGTCATCTTAAGAGATGTTGTCCAGGTCCCGTTGACATTTTCTTATGGTCCGATCATTCAGCTGCTAAAGCGTCTGCATCATTTTGTTCTTGCTTCAATCCAGAGTATATTTTCTCCGTGCCCAGTTTCTTTATATGGCTAGTCCAATTGCCAAATGTTTACATATATATAGTGAAACTTTATATTGCATATATGTGGTGTATTTCAGCTGCCTCCTGTGCGCCGCTTATGATCAAATGCGGCTTTCGGAAGGTCGCTCTTGGCGGAAGTGTTCTACTCATCTTTTCAAGTATCTTGTCGCCGTTGTCAACCACAGGCGATATCCTGACTATCATATTAGACGTCATGGGAGGTTAGTCCAAATCTTTAAATGTTTTTCAAATGGAACCATGTAGAGCTTGTTTAACTTTCCAGATACAAACCTCACACAGTCAAGACAAAGGCTAGGAATAAATGCAACTTAACACAAAAGCGGTCTCTTCTTGAACATTTTGTTTTAGGCCTAACTTGAGAATGTTATATGAACCGTACGTGTCATATGTGGATTACACAGTGATTCCTTGTGTTCACGGGGCGGTCGGGCAGCCTAGTGGTTAAAGCGTTCGCTCGTCACGCCGAAGACCCGGGTTCGATTCCCGACATGGGTACAATGTGTGAAGCCCATTTCTGGTGTCCCCCGCCGTGATATTGCTGGAATATCACTCACTCACTCACTCACTCACTCACTCACTCACTCACTCACTCTTTTATCTTCTGTTACAGTAAGTTGTCTGTGACGACAAACATTCTGAACCTATGGACGGCTTTGAAAAGTTTAAGATATATAATTAAGTGATGTACTCCAAAAGGGGTCCAAACGCGATTGAAAAATTGTCTTAAACTATTTGACTTACGAGCGTATGTTTTATGAAATTTGTGTTAGGTTTTGCTGTTGGTCTTCTTCGGACGACTGGTGTCGTGGCTTCCGTGGACCATCTCTACACTCGCCCAGTTCTCGCTCTTATCACCAGCTACGCCAGCTTCCTCATTGGTGCTGTCAGCAGCAGCATCGTCTTGATTACTTGTAATTATCTAGACAGTAGACAGGATTGGTCTGACGCCATGTCTGTGTTTGTGATAACTGCTGTGATTGGACTTCTCGCTGGCAGCTTTCTGAAGAAGAACTTAAAGACCCAGCAGAATGTGCCCAAGCTCTTCACATACCCACCGTTTTATTTTCTCCTATTGATAAGACTTGTGGCGTCTTTGGGTATGTTTAGTCAAATTTACAATGAATTTCTAAACTTTAATCAGGGTGCTGGGTGAACCTGTGCGTTTCAAATCGTCCCTTATCTGCCACAACCCACTCGTCGCTGGTTCGAAAAGCAGAATCCTCTCACCTTAAACCTTGAATGAATGTCTGATCTTGACATTGACCATGGTATTTGTAATGAATTTGACAAATAACAGGGGTTGATAAAAGCAAATTTTATTTGTCCTTATTGAATAGAAAAGTGTTCATATTACTTTAAAATCTTTATTTGCAAGAAACTTATCGGTCCCTAATCTTGAGAAGACTTTACAGAAACGGGTCTAGCACATTTAGCTACTGCATATTACGGCCTAGTCACGTAATTCACAGTAGTGTGTTATAAGCATATAGGAAAGTTGTTCAGTGTAGGCTAAAAACACTGATGGATCTTTTTCTGTCTTACAGGGTTGTCATTCGCTCAGCCACCATTCATAATCATACATTCTGCAAGGGTTTACCTGCCTCTCTTCACCTTCTTCGGTCAGTTTATCATGCTGATTGTTCTGCTGATCATCCAAAAGTTCATGAAGGAATGTCCGAAAGAGTCAGCTCTGTTATCGATGGGGATACCGATCTTACCTATCGGCCTTGTCACCATGGTCCACCAGTTGGCTTTTGGCAGTTTCGGGTTTGTTGCGGTCTTTTTTGTCATGCTTGGAGCTGTCAATGGTGGGTAAACCAGTGAGTGTACTCTATGCACGCACTAAGTTTTCATTAGTTTTAGGGGGCAGGGGTGGCACAGTTGTGTATGTCACCGTAATATGCCGTGCAGAATAGCGTCCAGAAAACTGTGATCATAGGTACGAATTCCAGATTCGCCTTCACTGTGTGTCTAGGTTTGTTAGCACCATCCAGAGCTTATGAGTTTCACCAAAGAGGTAAATATCTAACACCTGCATCACATCGGTGATGAGTGAGTAAATGAGTGACTGAGTGAGTTTGGTTGAACGCCGCTTTTAACAGTATTCCGGCTATATCCCACGGTTAGTGTGGGAGGAAAGCCCGAAGTGATGCAGGTCTCAGGCGTTTACCACTTCGGTGAAACCTACGAGCACGGGTATGGTGCTGACAAACCTAGAAACATAATTGGGGCGAACCGGGATTCGAACCCACATTCAAAGGGACGCAAGTCTGTACAGCGAATCACGGCGCCTTAGACGACTGGGCCACTCGTGCCCCCTCCTTTTACATGAAGCTGACACACTGTGAAATACTGTTCCCAACAGCATTAAACCCATTTCGCTCACCAAGCTGATATCCTGAGACCTGCATAACTTCTGTTATCCCCCACATCACGCAGACTCGCCGTGATACATAAAACTGTTTAAAGCGATGTAAACTGTAAATCACTCACTCACACTTTAGTTCTATTTTGCGATGTCTCGTTTATACTGTCATGTGTTCGTCTAAAAGTAATCACATAAGTAAATGAAGACTTACATCTTGAGATTTGTATTAATATTCCAGTGCTGTCTAAAGTGATGATACAGCTAGCATTGGTCCACGCCACTGGTAGAAGCAACTTGAAACTGGCCCTCCCAGTGCTGGGCTGCTTTGAGGAGATGGGGGGTCTTATCGGCAACTCCATCATGGGTAGGTAGTGTTTCGTGTTTCTTCAGCGTCAGTTACGTAAACTTGTAAAACACGAACCAACATAAAGCCAACACATACTATCAACATCAACACACAATACTGTCTGTATTATAAGTACAATGTAGTGTATTGATTAACCTTCATGTGGATACTGTTTATAATACACACTTCTGAAAAGAAATGAGTTTAAGTTTCAATCATAGATGAACTGCCACAGAGAAAATCATATCTACAGTATCACTGCTTGATTTTGAAAAATGGTATATTTCCTGTGTCCATGTAGTCCATCATAAATACCATGACCCCTGCCACTGACAATGAAGGGCAGTAAGTAGAAAGTCATTTACTGGTCGACAACGAACACATGATAATGATAATTAGCAATCCTTTTTTGTTAACATGAATACTAATCCTTCCTTCGACCTTTTACACAGTACTGGTACAGCATAACTCAACTGTGGATAGTGTGATTTCAGGCTTATTTAGAGATGTTACGTATTCATTATCTTAGTTTAAGATGTACGTATGATATTCAAAACTCTTTCAGAGATATCATCCTTTCTATTCAGCGTGTTGCAGGAGAGCTTCTGTAGGTGGTCCAGTAGAATAATACTGTAGACTTAACTTTACAGCTAACGGTACTTTCTCTTTCGAAGGACTCTTATTCATGGTTTGTATGCTATTTGTCTGGGAGACTTGTAAGTGTCACATCAGTCTTCCAGAGTTATTTAAGTGCATCCATTACGGAGCCGGCTCGGCACGTTATATTTCTGAAATATAGGCCATCGCTACGGCTCAATATGTATTTTAAAATCTATCTCTTTCTTTTACTATCCAAATCTTGATGTATGTTTGACGTACAATGAAAATGGTAAAAGTTGCTGGGATTATTTTATTAAAAGCAGAATAATATATTTTAATAATAATGTTAACACGTCACGTCTGGATAATACAAGCTACACATAGGTGATCCGCGAAATATATAAACTAACTCAACCCACAACGATATGAAAAACCCCAAACGCTCACCTAACGAAATCTGTAAGGTTCACTTACAGGAACAAATTATACATCTTTCATTTTTGTTAGATGGATCAAACATGACCACTTTTAGTTAAGGATTCTGGTTGTGTTTGTCATTTCAGCAAAATTCATACAAGAAACATCTTTAGCGAATGGAGGCTTATATTTTGCTGGAGTGTCCCTGTACCTTACGGGAGTTGGTGCCATCGCTGCATGGGGGCTGATGAAACGATGGCCCAATCTGAGTGATGAGGCTGTCGAGAACACCGGCGAGGAGTGAGATCATCCTGGTGTGGAGGAGACAGATGACCGTGTGGAAGACCTTGGCGCGAGGAATGCGGCAGAGGATCCTGGCAATTGATGCACCTGTAAAAGAATAACCTGGTGTTGCACGATTTGTTTTCCGATAGAAACACTGATTTGCTCGTGAACTGCACAATTATTATAACTATATCACGGATCAAAAGGAAAACAACACTGGTGACAGTGTCGAAAATAGCAACGCCAGTATTATTTTCCCATATACTTATAAGACTACAGTGAAAACGAGAAACTATGATATTGACCTTTCAATGTATTTTGTTGTTTTCCGGCTGCGTTGATGGTTGTGGCTATAATAAACAAACATATCTGCCAAAACTTGTTTGAAATGGTTTGTAACTGTAAGCCCTATGAGTATCTAGAGCGTTTTTGTGTACATATGCTCAACGTCACTGGCATTTTGTACTGTAAATACCACTTTGAATGTTTGAATATTATTACCAATTTTCTGGCTTGAAACTATTGTCGTCTTACTTTTTCAGAAGCTCTTTTGATACATTGTATCGGGAACGTAGTCATGCTATTTTGTGCTTGAGTTCATGTCAGAAAGGAAAATATTCAGTGTTATAATTTTTGTCTGATGCTGAGCCACCTTAGATATTTTGCCACCAGCTACTTTTAATGGTATGTTTTCTGTACTGGATATATCGCCTTGAATTAAAATGTTTTTCTTTCATATATGTAGATACTTATTTTCAGTTGACAAAGCACTTGATATGATTGTGTTTGTTTGTTGTTTAACGCCGCACTCAGCAATATTCCATTTATATGACGGCGGTCTGTAAATAAGAACCTTGGTACGTATGGAATTTCAATCAGATCTAGTTTCAAATTTTATTCGTCAATATTGTCGAATTCAGTTATTGGCCAATCAGAAACTTAGTTTTCTGTATTGCGAACATAATCTTCCTGCAAGATGTAAGGCCACTTATTATGTGGCCAGACACGAAGGACCGCCTCCGTGGTCTAATGGTAGAGCGTCCGCCCGGAGAGCGGAAGGTCCGGGGTTCGATCCCGTGCCCCGTCATACCAAAAGACGTTAAAAGATGGTACTTGTTGTTACCCTATCTGGCGCTCGACATTAAGGGGCAAAAACAAGGACTGGTCGGCTCTGAGTGACTATACTGTGTCTGAGTGGGGTATTCATGTTAAACTGTGGCATGGTATCTCAGTGAGCTAGCACTACAAATCGGCATCAGTCCGGACTAGTACAAGCAACCACACACACACCCACACACACCCACACACACACACACGTGCATGCACGTCGCTATATAAGTGCAATAATCTTGGACGCGACGTTAAACCCCATTTCACCTCACCTCACCCAGACACGAAGGGAAAAATGCTGCTCAGCTGTACAGGTTTGAAATGTTTGAATTGCTCCTTTGACCTAGGAAATGTGTCATTTGTCCTATATACATATTTAATCCCAAGTTCAGTTCAAACTCTGTTTTAGCATCCGGTACAATTTCCGCAACCTGAGGTAAACTAAAAACCTCCGGCTCATCTCGAAACACACCATGTTAACGTCCGTAAAGCCAGCTATTTAAAGACTTGCTACAATGTCGGGTGAATTCAGACCAACTTCTCATCATGAATCCGGTGAGGAAATCTTCCCTATTCATGACGAACAAGAGACTCTACACTCAAACAAACCTACGGAGCACGAATCAATTCACGAAACCATGTCCACTACTGATAGTTACGCTAGCATTGACCACAGAAGTCCTGGTTTTGTTGAATATCACCACATTGACGACGTCAACCCAGCCTCTGCCTATCAACAGGTGACAGAAGAACGCCAGTCGGAAGCTGATAATGACTATGAATGCATTGCTGAAACCTACCCTGCGTATGATTACCTTGAAGCAATAAACGACTCACGCACGGTAAGAGTTGAAATATATGTTTTTAACGCATAGATGTCAAAATTTACTTTAGGATTGACTGTATATTTTCAGATTTTTTGAGTATTCGATACCCTGAATTGTCAATTAGAACCGACGAAAATACACTCTTCAAAAAAAGAAAACGCATAGTTAAAAAATAAGGATATGTATTAAGCAGATGTAAAAGTATCTACACAGAATATGCGTGAACACAATCAAATGAAATTAGACACAGTGATCAACCAAAGCTTGTCGTCATTGTCAGCATTAATTCAGTTCAGTCATTGCACATGTGTAGCCACAAGGGGACGTCATGGTCAGTACCTGGTCACACCACCTCTTGCAGCCGTCACTGCTCGATACCTCCTTTTCACAGATTGCACAAGTCGTCGGATTTTTTCGTGGGGAATTCTTCGCCATGCCTCCTGTAGGTGTTGGCGAGTTGTGCCAGTGTGTTGGGGCGCTGGTGACGTTGACGGACGCGTCGATCAAGTTCGTCCTACAAATGTTCAATCGGGTTGAGATCAGGCGATTTGGACGGCCATGGAAGGACATTGATGTTCTCATTAACAAGGAAATCAACTGTTGCACGAACTTTGTGGGGCCGAGCGTTGTCATGTTGGAACAGCTCCCTCTGGCGGTCTAAAGTTGGGAGGAAGTGAGGACGCAGAATTTGGTATATGTATCGGATTGCTGTAAGATTGTCCTGGACAACCACTAACTGTGATCTACCCGTGTAGGATATGGCTCCCCACACCATGATACTCCCTCCACCAAATCGCTCCACCTGTCGAACGCATTTCGGCGCAAAACGTTCATGTCGACGTCGGTATACACGTTGTCGTCCATCCTGTCGTCCAAGAAGAAAACGTGACTCATCGATGAACCAAACGCGTCGAGAGTTCCTGAGATCCCATGCCTGTACTCTGTTGCAGTTGCACCACCGGACACGTCGTTGACGGTGTAGACGTCGCAAGAATGGTCCAACTTTTGGTCGTCTCGCTCGAATTCCCACTTCCCTCAGACGATTTCTGATGGTTTGGTCGGAAATTCTTCGCATACCACGCACTTGTCCTGCAGTGTCCGTTGGTGTAGCAAACCTATTCCGAAGGTGATGCAACCGGATGTACCGATCCTGAGCAGGGGTGGTCGCTCTTGGTCTTCCACTTCTGGGATGATCTTGAGTCGAATTAGTGCGGTTATATCGATCCCATAGTCGAGATATGGTGTTTTGGTGAACGTTGAAGTGTCTTGCAACGTCAGACTGGGACTCCCCTGCTTCCAAACGTCCAATGGCGATATTTCGGTCAGCTGCAGTTAATCTTGGCATTTTTCGATCTCCGTTCACGTCAGAAAATTCGTAATGAACTGATGAATTTTGTACGGTCTTTTATAGTCAGTGTCTCTACTCTTGTTTCCAGCAATTTGCACGTGCATTGTGCTGAAAACTTTTTTCTGAAAGCAATTTCCGTGCATCCTTTGCATTTTAGCTGATAAACGTTTACAAATACCATTTTGAGATGCGTTTGCGCGCAATGCACAACAAACATGACATGATTAACGGGAATCAAACATAAGAATTGTCTTTATGACGATTGCTGGGGAAAAAATCTAAATGGAATTCTCAAAACACCTATGCGTTTCTTTTTTTGAAGAGTGTATAACACTTGACTTGCCTTTACATGTGTTTGTAACGGCTGCCATCGGTGAGGCAGGGTACGCTCACCGTTTTGCTAAACTCCTTTTGAAATCACTATTTTATAAACACATGCTTATGATATATTCGGAATCGTACAGTGGACTCTTTCTTATGGAGATTTCTTATGATTATGGAAAAGGTTTTGTCGCTATTATTTCATATCTTCGTGTGTTTCCTTTGGTGACATGCCCGTTTTATGCAGGTACTTGATCTCAGGTCGTCTCTCAGTTTCCCCCATGTTCGCAGTACTAGTTTCTCTCACATCTGTCAAATTCTCAAAAACATATGCAGTTATCAATCCATAACTTCTTATGAAGCAATTTGATGAGGCCACGAACTTTTCGATTTACTCACGTATATGCACATATATATGTAGTTTTGGGCAGTATGTGTCTTTATCAAACGGTGAATCGTAACCAGTATAATATAATAATTAGCACTACATGCATTAGTACAAATGGCAATTGTGTCAGCAAAAGATTCTACTTTTCGGGGTTTCGTTATTCCTGCTTTGTATGAAACATAGATTTCATGAAGATTACATGTACAGCACACAAATACGAGAAACTTTAATTCTATTTGTATATATACGGAAGCAACGACGTAATAAACATTGCTTGCAATATGGGAACGACCATTTGTGATCATGTGTGAAGGAGAGCTATCCTAAGAGATATTTCATACTTTCACACATGCGTTAACCAATCTAAACATCAAAACACCATATAAGGTGAAATTGTTATCGCCTTTAGTAACCGCCTTTAGTAACAGAGTGATAGGATCGAATCAGATAAAAGGGAATGAGATGAGACAAATGTGTAACAAAGTCGTTTGGACAGCTCTGGCATTGTACAGATGACAACATTTTTTCTTCGTTATTTCAGCTTACATCGAGGAATAGCGCAGTAGCTAAGTGCAAGAAGTCCATTGTTTTTCTCGCTCCCATATTTGCCAGCGTGACAGTCAACATCATAGCTGGGTTCTTCTTCCGAACGTTCTTCCTGACTGTTGCTCATATCACCTCAAACAGAGCAGGCAGTGAAGATGGAGGAATGCTACTAAACCTATTTTGTTTGTTCTCTGCACTTGCAGGTACACAGTACATTTTGTTTAAGATAACTGTGTGATCAAGATTTATGTCACTTTGTGCAATTGTTCAACAATAGCACGGCGGCGGACATTTGAAATGGGCTGAACACATTGTACAGGTTTGGGGAATTGAACCAATGACTTGAAATTTACGAGTTGCCGCTTTAACCACTGTCAACATAACTGGATTGGTCCATCTACACTGAATAAGTCATGGTAAACATCGCCATATCTCTATCTGTTGTCGACTTATATTTACGCCAGACTTATATTTGAGTAACTTACCAATGCCCAACATGCGCCAAGACAGAACTACATATTGTCATATTTTGCATTTTGTCATAAATAAAGAAAATTTATATTGCACATATGTGGTTATTTCAGCTGCTTCCTGTGCGCCGCTTTTGATCAGGTACGGCTTCCGAAAGGTCGCCCTGGGCGGAAGTGTACTACACATCTTTTCCTGTATCTCGTCGTCATTGACAACCACAGGCCATGTCATGACTATCTCATTCAGCATCATGGGAGGTCTGTCAAAGTCTTTGTATGGTTTCCAAATGAAACCTTGTTGAGTTTGTTTTATTGTTCAGAAACAGACCTCATATAACCAAGACATAGGAAACTTATAAATGCAACTAAACATACAAGCGACCTGTCCTTGAACGTTTTGCTGTACGCCTAATTGGTGAATGTTATATGATTTATTATGTGGATTCCACGGTTATTTGTAATAAACAACACGTTTTAACAGAAATGATCCGTGTGTTCACGTGAAACTCAATATGACAAAAGGGCATTTTGTCAATCGATTAGTATTTGCTAAAGACATGGCACATTTTAGTACACAATTTAGTACACATTTTAGTACCCATTTGATTAGTGTATTAAAGGAAAGATACACCCATTTCTAAATGCTTATACAGAATGGTCATTTTCATTGGCATAAGGGGGCACGGGTGGCCCAGTCGTCTAAGGCGCCGCAATTCGATGTGCAGAGTTGCGCCCCTTGGACACGCCAGGAACCTATGATTGTGGGTTCGAATCCCGGTTCGCCCAGATTATGTTTCTAGGTTTCTCAGCACCATACCCGTGCTCGTGGGTTTTACCGAAGTGGTAAACGTCTGAGACCTGCATTACTTCGGGCTTTCCTCCCACATTAAGCTGACACGCCGTGATATAACTGGAATACTGTTAAGAGCGGCGTTAAACCAAACTCACTCACACACTCAATGGCATAAGGGGGGCCTACCTACTCACTGAAATGCAGTTAACTGTCTCAATCAGTTAGTGTAATGTGTGGAATGGAAACACTTGAAACTTTAACGATTTTTTAAAAGTTTAAGATCGGCTAGAATATTTTACATGACCGACTGCACGAGGTAGTCGTGACGTTATTGCTAAATTGTCTTAGAATATATTACCTTGATAAACGCCCTTCTCAATCCATTTCAGGTTTCACTGTGGGTCTTCTTCGGACTATTGGTGTCGTGGCTACCGTCGACCATCTAAACTCTCGACCCGCTCTCGCTCTTATCATCAGCTACACCAGCTTCATCATTGGGAACGTCATTAGGATCATTTTCAGCAGCTTTGACTTGATACAATATCAATACAATAGACGGGGTGGGTCTGATACATCCAGGCTGTTTGAGATAATTGCTGTGACAGGTCTTGTCGCTGGAAGGTTTCTACAGAAGAACTCACAGACCCAGCAAAATATGCCCCAGCTCTTCAAACACCCACCGTTTTATTTCCTTATCTCGATAAGAGTTGTCGCGTCTATGGGTACGTTTTCAAATGAATTTATAACTTTGAACCAGGGTCCTCGCGTGACCCAATGATCTGAGTTACATCCCTTATCTGCCACTACCCAGTTGCCATTGGTCTGAAATGCAAAGTCCTCTTGCATTAAATGGATGTTTGACCATGCATTGTCATCTTCACACTGACCTTGTCATTTGTAATAAATTTAACAAATAACAGGGGTTGATAAAAGCAAATATTAGGTTATTTATTGAATAGAATTTTTTTTTTTCCTATAATTAAAACCTGTTGAAACTTTTAAAACCTTTGGTCGGTTGCTTATCTTTAGACAACTTTATACGAACGGGTCAGACACATTTAGTTACTTCGTCGTATTGGCCTGGTAATGTAATTCATAGTTGTAAGACATAAGCATATAGTAATGTTGTCCAGTGTCGGATAATGACCCTCATGGATTCTGCCTTACAGGTTTGTCAATCCTTCTACCTTCGATCAAAATCATCCGTTCTGAAGAATCGTCCATTTTATCTGCCGTCCTCTTCGTCAGTCAGTTTATCGTGCTGATTGTTCTGCTGATCCTCCGAAATTTCCAGAAGGAAAGTCTGAAAGAGTCGGCTCTGTTATTGATGGGGATATCAGTCCTAGCTGTCGGCCTTGTCACCATGTTCCACCAGGCGACTTTTGGTAGTTTCTGGGTTGGCTTTTCCTTCGTGATTGGAGCAGTCATTGGTGGGTAAACTGATGAGTGTACGTCTTATACTCTGTGCACTCACTATGTATTCTATAATTTTAGTTTTAAGGGGCAGAGGTGCCACAGTCGTGTGAGACACCGTAATTCGTTGTGCATTGTAGCCTCCCTTAGCTGCACCAGAAACCTGTGATCGTGGGTTCGAATCCCAGATTTATGTTTCTAGGTTAGTCAGTACCATCCATTTTTCGTGGGTTTCACAAAAGAGGTGAACGTCTAACGCCTACATAACTTCGGGCTCTCCTCCCATATCATTCTGACACAGTATGCTATAACTCATATTCGGCGTTTAAAACCAACTCACTCATCCTTGTTTTGTTAGCACCATAACCTTTGTCGCAGGTTTCACCAAACTGATAAACGCCTAAGTCCTGCATTACTTCTGGCTTCCTCCCACATCAAGCTGACGCGCCGGGATAAATTTAACTGAGCGTCTGTTCGTAACCCACACACTCTCTCACACTTATATTATAGTTTTGTGACAGCACTTTCCTACCATGTTTTGTGTCTAAATGCAATCACTGTGGTGGAGGTAAATGAAGACTTGCAGACATATGAATTGTATTCATGTTCCAGTTTTCTCCCAAGTAATGATACCACTAGTGATGGTCCATACCACGGGTAGAACCAACTTGAAACTGACCCTACCAGTGCTGTGCTGCTTTGATCAGATGGGAGGACTTATCGGCAGCTCCATTATGGGTAGGTAGTGTTCTGTGTTTCTGCAATTGGATCCATGTACATCTGTAAGGTAGGATACAGTGTAATAGTGACAGGGGCTACATGAAGCCAACACTGATACACTATCACAAATTACTACTGTTTGTGTTTGTTATTTCAGAAAAAATCGTGACAGAAACATCCTCTGTAAATGGAACCTTGTATTTTGCTGGTTTGTCTCTGACCACTGCTGGAATTGGTGCCATCATTGCATGGGTGCTGATAATGCATTGGCGGCCTCTAAGTCATGAGGCTGTCTCCCGTCATTTTGTGCTGGGCGCCGATAACACCGGCGACGAGGAGGCACAGGACCCCGATGAGGAGGAGGCAGAGGACAATGTCGGGAACTTTGTCGAAGAGGCGGCAGATGACGCTGGTGGTGAGAAGGCAGGGGACCCTGGTGATGAGGAGACAAAGGACCCTGGTGATGAGGAGACAAAGGACCCTGATGATGAGGAGGCAGCGGACCCTGGTGATGAGGAGGCAGGGAACCCTGGTTATGAGGAGGCAGGGAACCCTGGTGATGAGGAGACAAAGGACCCTGGTGATGAGGAGGCAGCGGACCCTGGTGATGAGGCAGGGAACCCTGGTGATGAGGAGGCAGGGAACCCTGGTGATGAGGAGACAAAGGATCCTGGTGATGAGGAGACAAAGGATCCTGGTGATGAGGAGACAAAGGACGCTGGTGATTGATGCATCCCTATAAGAGTAAACTAGTGTTACGATAGAAATGTTGATTCGCTCATGTATAACATAATCAATATAACTATATCATGGATAAAATGAAAACAACACTGGTAACATTGTCGAACATAGTAACGCGAGTAGTAGTGTTCCTACAGTTAACTACAATGAAAAGGATCATGATTTTGGTCTTGTAATGCTAGTAACATTTTGGGCTGCCTCGATGGTTATGGCTATAACAAAAACAAACATATCTGCCGAAACGTTTCTGAAATGGTTAAAGACAATATGTATGTGGTGCTTTTGTGTTGCATTCATAATGAATATTCAAGACGTTTCAATGTCATGAAATACTGTACATGTAATCAAAAGCCGTCAGTATTAGTTATGCCATGAGGTGTTTGAGGTCGTGTCAGTAAATACGAATATACTTAATTTTATATTTATTGTCTGTACCAAGGGCGTGTCGCTCTGTCTTCTGTTACCAGATCTCGGTTATGTCACTGATTTTGTTATGATAAAACATTGATCACATGAATGACCAAATATCATGTTGTTATTTCCAATAACATAACATATAAACCACTTTATATGAAGCTCAGTTACTTTTCCCCTGCTCATTCAAAAACAGAAGATAATGTACATGCGTCATTCTGTACGGTCTGTACAAAAGGACTGTCTACAAAGAATATATACTACTCAGACATTACCAACAATATCGGCTTAATTCAGACCAACTTTTCATCATGAATCCGGTGATGAAATCATCCACACTCCGGACAGAAAAGAGAACCTGCAGGAAAAGAAGCCTACTCAGCACGTATTCATTGACGAAACACCAAATCTTCTGCTGGTAGTTATACGAGAAATGACCTCAACAATTCTGGTTCTGTTCATTATCACAGGCGATTGAAGAGAGCAAATCGTAAGCTGATGATGACCGTGGCTGCATTGCTGAGACCAAACCTGCATGTGATTACACTAAAGCAATGCACGAGCCACTTACGGTAAGAGTTGATGTTATTTAAGAAATAAAAGACGAGTGGGAGTTGTTTATCGTGCGATAAAATATTGTCCGTAGAAGAAACCATGAGGGGCGCAGCCCCGAGTGGTTTATGCTCCCTGTAGTGTGTTATTGTACGATAAACAACGACCACGAGTCATTTATTTCGTATATGAGATATCAACATTATTTGCAACCTCTTCAAGGATGTTAAAAACATTTATCATCCAAAACTGGCTCTAGCGATATCTACACTGTAGATATCGCTGCAATGAAATTACATCACAATGCTTTGCAGACCATTGTGACGTCACTGGTTACCATGACGTCACAATCAAATGACATCACTAATGGCTCTGCTACTGAAGCTGTTAGCAGTACTTTTTACACTGAAGACACTGCTTATTACTGTCCACAAATTGAAAAAGTTGGAAGAACGATATTGGATGATAAATAAAATCTCACCCTCGTGTCTTTTAAACACTCGTTGATAAAAGTGGCAAAAATCCTCGGCAAGCCTCGGAATTTTTCCACTTTGATCATTTTGTGATGATATATTTGATATCAAAAGACACTCTGGTGAGATTCTCTATGTACAAGCTTTGAAATATTTACCCGTATTTAAATAATGATGACTCCATGAATACAATTCGAGCTGCTTTACCACATGTAAATATATACACGGCGCTAAAATCAATAACCTTCCTTTGTATCCTGTTTCAGTTTCATTTTGGCCCTGGTTACAAGGACAAAACTTGATGATTTAGTTATGTACTCATTTATGAAACCTTCACAAAAATGTTTACCATAACAATAATAAGTAACGATAAGGTTTATGGGTGAACAACTTCTTTATTACAATTAAGAGCAACGTTTCGGTGTAGGTTCTAACACCGCTATCAAGCAAGTGTTAGAACCTACACCGAAACGTCGCTCATAATTGTAATAAAGAAGTTGTTCATCCATTATCTTATCCTTACTTAGTGCTCCAACTTCTAAATGCCTATCAAAGAAATAACAATAATAATATTTTGCACAAATGAAATCTTGATAATTCAAACTGTAATGAAGCATACCCACGCAACTTACATTCTTTAATATATTTATCTAAGTACGTCAGTCTGGTAGTAGTGTATCGCTGCTGTTTTAGTTGTTTAATAACCGTCTCAAATGTTTGATAATTTATGTTTGGTGTCCGCAGTCAGCCATATTCCAGCCTTACCACAGCTGAATGCAGGCGAAACGCTCCACACCACTGAGCCACCATGACATGCAATTAGTCAAATCACCAATTCCCACCGCCCAATACATTTCAGACGAATCTACGAAAATCACAGTTCATCCAAGAAGCAATTTTACATTCATACATTCATAATTTTTAGTTTCAGAAACAGTGTTGAAAAGTTTATTAATTAATGCTGTGTATGTTAATTTGTATTGACTGTATTTGTATAACTGGTGAGAGCATAACCAGGTGAGCCACAGAGACGTGACACTAAGTTGATCCTCTGTCACTATTTGGGTCCATGTGTTTGTATTATACTCTTACTTTTCAAAGACGAGCAAAAAACCCTTTGTCACGTCCGTATTCGCCAGCACAATTGTAAACGTGGTAGCGGCGATCTTTATTTCGTCTTATTGTTCATCTTCACGCCTGTTGAAAACAAGCAGCACTGACGTGAGGAAAACAACGAAATCACTGGCATAAATGACGTAAATGTCATTAAAAGTACATTTGGGTGGTTCGTCGCACTGGCAGGTAATAATAATATTTTGTATATAATTATATCCATCTGCATCGAGCTGAATATACCACCGAGTTGGCTGGTGTTGTATGTTTTTTCACTTAAGTTTCTTTATGAAGGGGAAATATTCTACTTCACACAATGCACATGTAAAACGATCTTAATCAACTACTACCTTACGTTTTCAACTATTTGATTAAAAAATCGCAATAGCTTTCATATTAAACAGAGCTTGTAGTCAGTGATCAAAACACCTACGGATTTGCAGCTGTTTAAGCCAAAACTTATTGTCGGAACCGGAAGTGTACGAAACCTTTTCATTGTGGTAGCTGGAGGCATTGGATTAGGTTTTCCAGCCATACTTCATTAGGCATATGTTTTCCTCCGACAGAAACTGATGTAATTAAACTGTCCAAATGAAGGCAGCCAGAGACATGAGACATTATAAGTCGCAATGCATATAACGTGGTCTTCCCAAACCAGAGTTATCAAAAGGCATTGGATTAAATTAAGTTCAATATTGTACTGAATTATTTGTGTGCTTTCACAAACTATAAGACTCGTGAAGATCCGGGGTAGAATAGGTCTTCAGCAACCCATTCTTGCCGTAAAAGGCGACTATCGGGATCGGGTGGTCAGGCTCGCTGACTTGGTTGATGCATGTCATCGATCTCAATTGCGTGGATCGATGCTCATATCAATCACTGGATTGTCTGCTCCAGACTCCATTATTTACAGACCGCCGTCATATAGCTGAGTGCGGCGTAAAACAACAAACCAACCAACACAAACTATAACAGATACCGGAAGTATTGTCCTTAAAACAATATTAGCATGTACATTTTGTATTAAAGTAGCGACATATTTGAAGATTTAAGTCCGGCTTTTCCTTAGACCACAAGTTGAATCATCTAATATGAAATGCATTTAGGGTATTCATTATGCTAGATGTAAACAATGTGTTTCATTGCATCTAGGATAAATGACACCCTTTGTCACTCACATCCATGTTCGTTATTGTACTTATCCACTCACCGATCGTTCCCGTGCTATCGCGGTGGTTGGAAACGTCATACTTATCACTGCCTGCTTGACACAGAATGGATCGATGGACCGTAATGCTCCATTCATCTTCCTCGGAGGTATGGCCACGAGTTTCACAAATGTGTTTTTCGTTCATTCAATTTAAGAAGCAACATGAAAGAATCTCTCGAAAGTTTAAGACAAGATAAGAATCAATCATAAAGAGGACAACTTGCAAAGTCGGGGTTTGGATGGTGGTGACTAGATTTATACATCGAGGAAACCGAACGATTGCATTGCTGGGATACTGTATGCTGTAGGTTGGAGATTACAAAAGCAGTTCTCTTTGACTTTTTTAGTATTCTTGAAGCTGCTCTGGATACTAAAAACTATACACTTAAATAACCATAAGTTGAAGTTATTCGTTACTAAAGATGTCATGGCTGTCATACAGGAACACTTTATTAAAGGGGATGAACAGAAATGTAGATAGTGCCTATATTTTGGCATGTAATCATATTTATGCGCAACTGGATTTGTAACTGGTTTCAGGTGAGTCTGTTTAACGAACGAAAATTGTTATTTGTTCATCTTATATACATGTTAATAACATATGACACTCAATTTCGTCAGATACCAAATTTACGAGACTAATTCGCTCGATGTTTTCTGTATATTACATCTTATGTCAAAACCCTTTTCACAATAATTCTGTCAGTATCGGAAATATTTAGCAAACTCATTCACAGCGACTATATACATTTATGACAGTTAGATGGCTCCCCCACTCCCTCAAAGGCAGTTAATTGTCAAAGTCTGTTAGCGTAAAGTATGGTATGGAAACATTTGAATCTTTTATTCAAAATAACATCTTTTCCTAAAATTTTATTGTGACGACTAGTATTCTACACCTATGACTTAGTGAGTGAGTGACAGCAATCCAGTTATATCGGGGAAAGCCCGAAGTGATGCAGGTCTCAGACGTTTACCACTTCGGTGAAACCCATGAGCACGGGTATGGTGCTGACAAACCTAGAAACATAATTTGGGCGAACCGGGGTTCGAACCCACAATCATAGGTTTCTGGCGTGCCCAAGGGACGCAACTCTGCACAGCGAATCGCTTCGCCTTAGACGACTTGGCCACCCGTGCCCCCACAACGTTTCGGAGTACATGCTTACTCCTTCATCGGGTGAATGAATGCCATGAGACAGAGAGCATATATATGTACATGTAAGGACAACACAACGAATAAGATAACAAAAGGTTATCATTCATTCACCTGATGAAGGAGTAAGCATATACTGCGAAACGTTGTGTTCCTCATAATAAAGAAGTTGACATCCATACATTCTCTTCCTTAATAATATTTTGTACCTGTGAAACCGGAATAATTAGCAGCAAGGAAGCAAACCCACGTCAGTAATACTTTCTACATTCATATTTCCAGTTTCAGAAACAGTGTTGACATGTAGTTACTTGTTTCATATTTGTAGTGAGTGAGTGATAGTGGTTTTACGCCGCTTTTTGCAATATTCCATCAATATCACGGCGATGGACACCAGAAATGGGCTTCACACACGCTTTAACCACTAGGCTACCCGACCGCCCCTCATATTTGTAGGGGCGGTCGGGTAGCCTCGTGATTAAAGCGTTAGCTCGTCACGCCGAAGACCCGGGTTCGAATCCCGACATGGGTACAATGTGTGAAGCCCATTTCTGGTGTCCCCCGCCGTGATATTGCTGGAATATTGCTAAAAGCGGCGTAAAACCAAACTCACTCACTCACTCACTCATATTTGTAAATACGTCCTCATTTGTATGCGGAAAATTCTTGGTCAATATATTAATCGTTATTTTTGATATTCAGAACCTTGTGACTGCATAGCCAGATGAGATACAGTGCGCGAGTTAGTTATTTAGATCGCTCGAGGCGTTGGTCTAAATGTGGTTTATTGTTGTACTGAATTATTCATGCGCTTTCACAAAACAAAAATGATACCGGAAGCAATTGCATAAAACCTTTTCACTAAAGTAGCGAGAGGATTTGAAATGTAAATTCATGTTTTATACCACAAGTATTAAACGTTTCTTTTTGAAACTGTATATTGAGATCAATCAGTGTTTGAAAATACCTACCTGTTTAGCTATTAAAGCAACATGTTCTCAAAGGTTTCTGTAAGGTCGTAGTAGATCAGCGGCTGTAACACGTCATTGTAATGTAGGAAAAGATTTAAGTGTCACTAACACTACATAACAATAATACGAATATCGATTCACTTACATGTATCCTCTCAATCCGAAGCTGTTTCCTCTGATCATTAGACTTGGCACGCGTGCGGTCGCGATGGTTGGGAACGCCCTATCCATCATTTTCTGCTCGACGTGACTTTGTTCAGTTGACCGTAGTGCTCCTCACATCGATCGGAAATTAACATTCAAAACATTCCGCTCTCAGGACCAAAACACACCTTGTGGGGAATGGGCCAAAGCCTTTCTCATTATCTTCCACCGCACGCCATTTTAAACACATGGTCTGCTAAAAACATAATACTACTGACATACATGTATGGCAGTTTTTTTTTAAAAATATGAATCAATTTGGCCGTTTTTCTAAATGAATCATCTCACCGAAATTTGTTCGACCCCTATTTTCGCATGTGGACAAAGCGATAAAGTAATAATTTCGGTAAAAAATATTCTATGTCAAAAAAAGGAAAGGAAACACATATCCATAGAACGCAAATACTATACCGCCCTGCACTGCAATCACACACCCTGTGTCATCATATTATCTACATACATTGGTGATCGATGCCTAAAAATTGCTACTTGATTGTGGTTACCATGGAAGTCACACATGTATGTATATGGTTGCGATTTGAGCAGACGAGAAAGACAAATTGTGAAAGACAGTTCAAAGTGCCTTTTGAGCCTCATTCCATCGTCCGAGTTCATGAGAAATAAAGTGTAAATGCTTTGTTTTAAAATTACTTGTCATAATGATTCCATTGAGAAAACATCTTAAAACTCATATGAATTGTCCGATCCTTATGGTTGAGAAATGTTGTCCATGATACAAGAAGAAATAGAAATTATTCAATTTCTATTCCTCAAAACATCTTTAGAAGTTTGAAGCTGGATGATCCACTGATTCACCTAAATATGGTTACATCCATTTGAGGGCACGGGTGGCCCAGTCGTCTAAGGCGCCGCGATTCGCTGTGTAGAGTTGCGTCCCTTGGACACGCCAGCAACCTATGATTGTTGGTTCGAATCCCGGTTCGCCTCGATTATGTTTCTGGGTATGTCAACACCATACCCGTGCTCATGGGTTTCACCAAAGTGGTAAACGTCTAAGACCTGCATCACTTCGGGCTTTCCTCCCACATTAAGCTGACACGCCGTGATAAAACTTGAATACTGTTAAAAGCGGCGTTAAACTCAACTCACTCACTCAATTACATCCATTTATTGAAAACTTCCTTAAAATAAACCCAAAAATGAAACCGGAATGATTACTTCTAGAAAAATTAATTTGCGTATCGGACATGCAGGTTTATTTTCGACTTCCTCCAAACACATCATAGTGTAACGACTTTGTTTTGACGTCAGTTTTCTCTTATTGAGATTAAGAATATACGGACTTGCTACAAAGAACATATATTACTCTGACATTACCAACAATGTCGGCTGAATTCAGACAATCTTCTCATCGGGAATCTGGGGATGAAATCATTCATGTTCCTGAGGAAGAAGAGACCCTACAGGAAAACAACCTTCCTGAGCATGAATTCAAGTCGACTACCGTCAGCACTGACCACAACAATCCTGGTTCCATGAAATGCAGTGACGGCGCCAACCCAGCCCCTCCCTACCAACAAGCGATGGACGAACGGGAACCTGAAGCTAATGACTACGAAAGCCTTGGAGAAGGCAACCCTGCGTATGATTACATTGAAGCAGTGTCATGTCCGGTAAGAGATGAAATTGTATGTTTTTAACGCATAGGGTTATTTAATGATTGGCTGTGTATTTCTCTTTCGGTTCATTCAGGAGATAAACACGTAACATGTTTTATTGATTATTTGAGTAAGGGAGTTGGGTTTAACGCCGCTTTCGATATTATTCCAGTAATATCACGGCGTGTCAGCTTAGTGTGGGAGGAAAGCCCGAATTGATGCAGGTCTCAGACGTTTACCACTTCGGTGAAACCTACAAGCACGGGTATGGTGCTGACAAACGTAGAAACATAATCGGGGCGAACCGGGATTCGAACCCACAATCATAGGTTTCTGGCGTGCCCAAGGGACGCAACTCTGCACAGCGAATCGCGGCGCCTTAGACGACTGGGCCACCCGTGCCCCCTATTGAGTATTTGATGACGGGAAAATTCACTGGGAACCGATGGCATACTACATTTAGAACAATTTACTTGCTTTTGCCGGAAAGGCAGGATATTCCTTTGGTGACATTCCCTTCTTATGCAAGTGCTTAAACACGAGCCATTTTTTTGCCGTTTCTCTCACATGTCAATTGCTCTTGATGACCTCCCGGAAACAAATACTTATAACTTAACACGAAACAAAGCAATATCTGTGCGACCACTTTGCGGTTTATCCTCGTAAATACACACACATGTAGGTTTCAGAAGTATGCATCTTTCGAAAACGTGGTGAAACTTAAGAAAAAAACGACGAGTGGGAGTTACAATCGTACAATGAATCGATAATAATGAGGAGAGAAGAAATATATATTCCCCCAGCAGTGTTTTATTGCACGACAAACAGCGACCACGAGTCGACTCTTTTTCATATGAGATATCAACTGCCTTTTTCAGTTTGTTAATAAAACTTACATGCTTGAAAAGTATTTAAAGGTATTTAAATAATGATGACTCCCTGAATACAATCCGACCTTGGCAATGTCGGACAAGTCTATTTTATAAACCGGTAGATTTTAATTACGTTTGGTATTTCCCAGATATTCTCACAATTACTCCCAGTACCGATTGTCATATCTCTCCCACGTTTGGATGCGATCGTTCGGTCATTACGTGACCGCCTCCGTGGTCTTGTGGTAGAGCGTCCGCCCGGAGAGCGGAAGGTCCAGGGTTCGATCCCGGGCCGCGTCATACAAAAAGACGTTAAAAGATTGTACTTGTTGTTACCCTGTCTGGCGCTCGGCATTAAGGGGCTAAAACAAGGACTGGTCGGCTCGGAGTCAGTATACTGTGTCTGAGTGGGGTATTCATGTTAAACTGCGGCATGGTATCTCAGTGAGCTAACACTATAAATCGGCATCATCAGTCCGGACTAGTACAAGCAGCCACACACACACATACACGTGCATGCACGTCGCTATATAAGTGCAATAATCTTGGACGCGACGTTAAACCCAATTTCACCTCACCTCACCTCGGTCTTTACGTTCATATGCTTTGCCCAGCTGCATCTAAGGGGAACAACTCACTAGACATTCACAAACAAGGAAACAGCGTTATTACTCCCCCCGCACAAAAGAATTTGGTTTGTTTATATAGTTGTGAATAATATGTATTATAACGCGATTTAAAAACCCCGAGTCCTATAAAGCCTTAAGAGATAAGCACTAGGGTCGCTTTATGTCATCAGAAAACAATGATTAATTGTGAAATTAATACACACAAAATATTTTATGGCCTCAATTTGAAACTCTGTCTCAATAAGTATCTCTTAGTTTCGCTTGCAAAGTTTCATTCAGTAGTTTCTGAGAAAACTTGTCAAGACACTATGTACTATATAGAAATATAAGATAGCTACGCGATAAATCGCAAAGAACAATGAAGAACGAAGCGTCCTATATGTCACGATTAAACATTGTTCTAATCATGACATCATTTCTGGAGATTCGAACATGTGCTTGCAACTTGATGACTACGTATATATGACGACGTTATTTTTGAGAGTTATTTGTGTCTAGTGAGGTGTTCCCCATAGATGTAGCACCCCAAAGGGTGAGATATATGGCAACCGGTGTTGGGAGGAAAGGTACAGATTATCGAGGTGAGGATTGTGATAAATACCCACCAGTGCATAAAATGGACTTGTCCGACATTGCCGAGTTGGGATTCTATTGAGGGAGTTATTATTATTTAAATACGGATAAATATATTTGAAGTTTGTACATTGTATTATCATCCTTAAACAGGCTGTACATTATGTTGATATCTCATATAAGAAATAAATGACTCGTTGTCTTTGTTTATCGTACAATAAAACACTGCACTGCGCCCCTCATGGTTTATTCTCACTGCAGTGTTTTATTGTACGATAAACAACCCCCACTACTAGTTCATTTCGTAAATAACATGGATCGAGGGCCACTGCTGTGTAAAAACTTTATTATGGCACCAATTTTCTAACTCTTAGATAATCACGCAAACTTTCATTCATGTAACTCCAGTAGATTCTGAGAAAATTTGTCCCCATTTCATGCAGCATGCACTAAGTTGTAAAGTATGGCGCAAGGACCATAACTCTGTAGACAATTGATTTGAGACAATTTTCGGACTCATTTGAGATCGTTACAAGTAACATTAGTGTGTAAAATTCAATTTCTCTAACTTAGATAAAATATTGTCTTATCGTGAAAACGACCACGCCCCGTTCTTCATTGTTCTTTGTGATTTATCGCGCAGCTATCTTATATAATAATAAATAGAAGAAGAAGATGATGATGTAATCAGCAATGCCGGGCTCCAAGTGACACGCACACACAAACGCACGGCCTTAGAATTTGTGTGGTATCTGCAACCCAACTCTCTGCATACGCACACAAAATGTGAACATAACGGACAGCGGATGAGAAGTGGTTCTTTCACAATAGTGTGGGAGTTGACGACACAATAAACGACAGTTTCAATGCCACTAGCGCTAAGCGAATGAGCTTTAGTGACTGACTGACTGAATGAATGAATGGAGTTTCCTGCCGTACCTGCGGGCACTGAAGCGTAGCCAAATACGGGAACCCCAGTTCCGCTTAAGTCTTGGCTTTAGTTGAGACGGGCGCACCCCAGTCAGGAACCCCATCTCCGCGCGCACACTCGGCTCCACTCAGGTAGGCTTGGTGTACTTGTACCAACGCTGTCAAAAGTTAGGCACAGCTTGCAGGCATCGCCGCTACGAAATTAGCGTGTACCGCAGCGCCCCAGGGTGTTCTAAACCCATATTTGAGGTCCATGTTCGAATCCTGGAAGGTTTTGCTTGTACAACGCCGTCAGATATATGGCATCGTAGAAATTGGCAATTGGGAAACGAAGACATGCATCAACCAAGTCAGCAAGCCTGACCACCCGATACCGTTAGTCGCCTCTTAAGACAAGTATGGGTTGCTGAAGACCAATTCTAACCCTGGTCTTTACGGGTAACATACATAATGCTGAAGGCATTTCCCACAAGACTGTGTATTGCTTTTGGGTCTCTTGAAAGCCCGTTAACGGGGGTAATCGTCTCTTTGTGGGGCGCTTCAATCAGTATTTGTACTCAATTAGAATACTAACTAAAATCAAAGATAACCGCCACGCAGTGTTACGTTTAACATGTAATCAAGAACAAAAACTGAGGTACATATGGCAAAATAACTTCATGCAAACTTTCAATATTGTCTGTGAAGAACCTCACCAGATATGATATTTAAAGTGTCATTTACGAGAGAAAAATGATCAAAAACTAAATTCAATATGGCCGCACTAAAAACGATATCCAAAAACGGCTAACAAGTTTGAAATGTTGTATATGGAGACAATTCTCAGAAAGTTTAGAAGGATTTTATTTTGTTGATTCAGAGGAGTATGGATTTGAATATATGTAGCCAAAACACACCGTGAAAACATTTTATCCAATATGGCTGCCAAACCACGTGACCAATGACCAAAGTCAAAGGACAAACGATGTCAAGCACCACAAGTAGCAGAAACATGCACAATTTAAAAGTAATCTGACAAGCTGTTGTGGAGCAATAGAGAGAAATATATCTTTGAAAATAACATGTTGTTGCCTTTCAGGCTTGGAGCAAATATAATAATGATAATAATAATAATAATAATACTCTCAGACAATAGATCCCACCACCCTCCCACTTCCCTCAATCATTCCCTTTTATTTACCAATCATAATGAGGGGGCGCGTACTGATTAACGTTGGGGCTCTTCATGATATAATTGTCTTATGCACTTTTGCACACACATAATTATAAAGAAAAAAGTGAAGCACACCCTAATATATTTCAGTATTGTTTGGTCCCAATATATGTAACAGTCATAAAAGATAAAATTACGGGAAGAATTATGTTTTCTCGAGATGATGTAATCGGCCATGCGTGACGAAAGCTGACGTGCCATGCATGGTATGCCCGTGCAGCAAGCTACCCTCGAGTATCCCTAAAAGCAGTATATCCAAACGTAAAATTGCTTTCTTAAGCTCGGTTTTAAACAGTTATTCCATGACATTGTGTGACCATGGCACGAAGGCGATTATCAAATGCCAGAAGATGGCAAATAATCAGCATGCAAAAGGCAGGAATGTCTTGTAATGCCATTGGTCGGAATTTGGGGTATCATCACACTGTCGTAAGCCCTTTAGTCGAGAAACATGCTCAGACCGGTGATGTACAGGACCGTCCCAGATCCGGAAGAGCTCCTGTGACACATCGCGAAGACAGGGACCTTCTTCGTCTCATATATCGAGAACCCTTTTTAACAAGTACTCGTCTGAAACAGCTGTGGTTGCCCAATCGTCGTTTCAGCACCAGAGCCGTCAGGAACCGGCTGAAAGCAGCAGGACTGAGGGTTAGACGAGTCATAAAGCGTCCCTTGTTAAGAGATCACCACAAAGCTGCTCGTTTAGCATGATGTATTGCGCGACAGAAGTGGAATCTGAGAACTTGGAGACGGATCCATTGGTCAGACGAAAGTCGCTTTCTGCTCCACGTCACTGGTGGAAGAACGAGACTTTGGAGGCACCGGAACTCGGCCTACACCCCCAGGAACATTAAACCGACTGTTGCATACGGCGGGGTCTCGGTAATGGTTTTGGGGTGTATCTCTCATGATTACAGGTTAGATTTGGTCACCATAAGGGGCAACTTAACAGGGGCTCCGGGCCAGTCGTCGTTCCTCATTTTGACAACCACCCTCTTGCTACTCGACCTCAGTACATGGATGACAATGCCAGGCCTTATCGTTCGCATGCAGGCGTAGATTACATGAGGGTCAATGCAATAACGACTCTACCCTGGCCCGCAATGAGCCCAGATTTGAACCACCTTGAACATGTTTGGGATATTCTTGGGCGGCGCATACAGGCACGAGATCCCTCCTGTACAAGAATTACGCCAGTTATCCCATGCCATGATTTTTGGCATTTGTCATGGTTCAGAAATAGGGATAGCATGTCAAGACTCATGATGAAAAAACAAGCCATTCCACTGTTTTCGTAAACGAGCCAAGGATGTGGGACATAATCTCAATGTCAATGTTGATTTTGTTGATAGTTCTGTACTGCTGGACGGTACAGTAATGAGTGTCAACCAAACGAAGTGCCTTATCAAATCGGCCCAGACTTTTAAGGAGAGGCTATCTGAGCGACCGCTGCATCGAATTAATATGCAGTCTGTTGCGAAGATCAGCAACCCTGCAGAGTCCTTCGCTTGGATGAAGTCGGCCTGGCCTGAAAAGTGGAACAGAAGGCTTTCTGTTTGCTGCTCAGGACTAGTCACTTGCCTCTCGAAACTGTCAGTGTGTGATTATGCATCAAATTGTAAATATGAAATGTAGATTATGTAATGAATTTAATGAAACTGTCGAACACATTGTCAGTGGATGTCCAGCTTTGGCACAAAACACAGTATCTTAAGCGGCATGATGTAGTGGCTCGGTCATTTTATTACCGTTTTCCACATGCTTGTGGTTTGACACAGAAGGTCCATCCATGGTACGACCCGGAATATGTAGAGGGCGTCATGGAAAATGATAAATACAAAATTCTTTGGAATATGCCCATAAACAGCCTCAGACGTATCCAACAACCCTTTTGTTATAAATCCGATGAAATCATTTATATTATTGGATTTTCTGTCCTTTTTGACACCAATATGATTGACAAGATTCAGGAAAAACATGGCAAATATGCGGACCTCGCTTTCGAAATGTCACGCTTGCATCCCAAGTACCAAGTTGTCCGACTCCCCATTGTTCTCTGTGCCTTAGGTTTGGTACCATCCAATCTGTTAACTGACATTGGGTAAGTGCCCGGGTTTGCCGCCAGGAATACATCCCTTCTGCCAATCTGGGTAATGCAGAAGGCTGCAGTGTTGGGGAGTTTTCACATTCTCTGAAACGTTCTGGGTGGGTTTCTCCTGGGAGAAGAGGGCGTAAGGGACCTGAGCTAATGATGATCACTACAATAGCAACACTTACAAATTCACATACAATCAACGAGTCTCGTGTTCAGGTTCTCTTGATTCCTTCTTTATATGAAACATGCAAATTCATGAAAATTACATACGTAATACTATTATGCTAACTATTTTAATTCATTTTGTGTGTAGAAACACGTACGTAATTAACATTACTTGCAAAAGAGGAACAAATACGTGTAATCAGACTCAAGGAGAGCGCGGCCCACAATGGCTGATTTGGTCTGTTTGCTCTCCTTGCAATGCTGAAAGGTTCTTATAAGGCCATTAAGAGATGTCCTAATACCAATTGTATTCTTGAGGTCTCATGTTTTTGTTATGTCTCAACATAACACGTAAAAATATAAGAATAAAGTAACATGAATTATCAGTAATTTCAAATCCAACCAAACACACAGCAAAAACATGGAATCAGATCAACAGAATGGTACAAATGTGAAACAAAGTCGTTATGGCATCACTGACATTGTACAGATTTTAACACTGTTTCCTAATTATTTTCAGCTTACACTGAGAAATAGAGCATGGGCCAAATGTAGGAAGACCATGCTTTTTCTCGTTCCCATATTTGCCAGTCAGATAGTGAACGTCTTGGCTGGGTTGTTCTACATGTCCTTCCTGTTCGTTGACAAGACCAACTCTGGAGTAACATCGTATGAAGATGGAGAGATGGTGGCTAAAGAACAAAGAATATTTAGGGTGTCCTTTGCACTGGCAGGTATATTATGTTTAAGATAACTGAGTGATTATGGTTCATGTCGCTTTGTGCAATTGCTCAACACTAGCACGGCGGGGGACATCAGAAATGGGCTGCTCGCATTGTACCCGTGTGGGGAATCGAACCTGGAACTTCAGATTAACGAGTTCCTGCTTTAACCAATGTCACGATAACTGAATTGATTCATCTAGGCTAAATACACCATGGTCACCAACGTCATATCCGTCTGTTGTCGACTTAAATTTGTAATTATCAATGCCTAAAATGCATAATCATGTCACGATATTGTAATGTATCAAGTACATATTGTCATATTTTTCATTTAGTCACAACTTTATTCACAAAGCGTACCTTTATATTGCACAACTGTTGTGTATTTCAGCTGCTTCCTGTGCGCCGCTTCTGGTCAGATTCAGCGCCCGGAAGATCGCCCAGTGGGGAAGTGTCCTACTCATTTTTTCCTGTATCTTGTTGTCATTGACAACCACAGGCGATGTCATGACAATCCTATTAAGCATTACGGCAGGTTTGTCGAACTCATGGAATGACTTTCATTTGTAACCTTGTATAGTTTGGTTAAAGTTTCAGAATGGAACGGCCACACAGGCAACGAATGAATGCAACTTAAGATACAATGATATTTCCTTGAAAGTTGTTTAATGCCTTAATTGGGAATGTTATATAAACTCTACGTCTCATACGTGGATTCCATTGTTATTTGTAATAAACTGGGCACTTTTAAAAGGAACTATTCCGTGTGTCCACGTGGGACTGAATATGACAAAAAGAAATGTTGTCATACGGATAGTATTTGCAAAACACTTTTAAGTAGCTTATTCGAGCGCAGATACATCCATGTCTTAATAATTATACACAATGCTGCATTTTCAAAGTAGCACTCACTCACTCACTTCTGGACCTATGAGCGCTCTAGACGATGTGCATATATTTAATGTGGTCGACTACACAAGCGATGCATAAGGTTATATGTAAAATTATTTTGGAGTATATGACTTTTTTATCAATCTTATTTAAGGTTTTACTGGGGGTCTTCTTCGGACGACTGGTGTCGTGAGTACCGTCGACCACCTCAACACTCGCCCAGCTCTCGCACTTATCATCAGCTACATCAGCTTCCTCATTGGGAAAGTCATCATTGTCAGCTGCTCCTTCTACATATATCAATTCAATGCGGTCAGGCGGAGCACACAAACTTATGGTTCAGTAGTGTTTCAAGTTCACATAGGACGAGATTGGCCTCACGTAATGAGAGTGTTTGAGATAATGGGTGTCATAGGACTTCTCGCTGGTATATTTCTTCAGAAGAACTCACAGGCCCAGCATAATGTGACCAGGCTCTTCAAACATCCACCGATTTATTTCTTGATCCTGATAACAGTTCCCGCGTCTATGGGTAGGTTGTTGAATGTTTTCAAATGACTTTATAACCTTGAATCTGGGTGCTCGTGTGGCTCAGTAAACCGAGGAGTTCCAAATCGGTGTGCAGAGTTACGTCCCTTATGTGCCACAACCAGCTTGTCCTTGATTCGAAAACTAGAATTCTCCCACATAAGAGCTTTCAACCTTGAATGGATGTCTGATCTTGACATTGACCATGGTATTTTTAATGAATTTGACAGATAACAGGGGTTGACAAAACAAGTATAATGTGTCGTTATTGAAACGAAAATGGTTTATATGCCTTTAAAATCATTTGCAAAAACATGACCAGTCCCTGATCTTAAGATGACTTTACACAAACGGGTGAGACACATTTTGTAGCTGTGTGCTTCGTCATGTTTGCCCTGTCATGATTCATAGTTGTGTGTTTTAACCATATGGGAATGTTGTTCAATGTCTGGTTATTAATTTTTGACTTAAAGGGTTGTCAATCCGCACGAACGCATCCAACCATACGCTTTTAATGTTCGGGAGTCTTCTCGTGCTGTTTGTTCTGCTGATCATCCCAGGGAAGGAAAGTCTAAAAGAAAAGTCAGCTCTTTTATCGATGGGGATATCAGTCTTAGCTGAGGGCCTCGTCACCATGGTCCAATCTAGCTTTAAGGGAGAGGTGGCTATGAACTTCCTGCTTGGAGCTGCCATTGGTAGGTAAACTAATGAGTGTACCTCATATACTCTGTGCGCTCACTATGCATTCTTTATATATTCTTTACTTTTATGAGGCAGATCAGCTATTGCCGTCCAGAGTAGCGTCCCTTAGGTGTGACAGAAACCAGTGACTGTGGGTTCAAATTCCAGATTCACCCTCATATTTTAAGGCACGTTAGCACCACCCAGTGCTCGAAGGTTCACCAAAGAGGTAACCGCCTAAGAGTTGCATTACTTTCGGTTTTCCGCCTACATCAAACTGACATACCGTAAAGTGCATAACTGTGACATAAACCGTAACTCAGTTCTAGTTTTGGGATAGCACTTTTATGGTGTTATGTGTTTTGTCTGAATGCAATCACTGTGATAGAGGTACAGTAAACTACGATTATAACGAACACGCTTATAACGAACTTACGGATATAACGAACTTACTTTTTTGGTCCCGACTATTTGCTGTAGTTATGCTGTATATATGCATATAACGAAATACGGTTATAACGAACTAAAATAAGTAGTCCCTTTGAGTTCGTTATAACTGTACTTTACTGTATCTGAAGACTTACTGATTTGTGATTTGTATTAATGTTCCAGGGCTCCATCAAGTATTGATGCCACTAGTGTTGATCAACACTACGGGTAGAAGTAATATAAAACTGGCCCTCCCAGTGCTGGTTTGCTTTGGCGAGGTGGGAGGACTTCTCGGAATCTCCATCATTGGTGGGTAAAATTCTGTCTGTGTTTCTTGTGTTTCTGCTGTTTGATTCCCGTAAACCTGTAAAACAGGAAACAGTGTCAAAGTGACAGGGTCGGCTTTGAGCCAACACTGACACACTACACACTGTCGTCAAATAATATTGTCGGTTTTACATGAACTGTATTGATTAAGCTGTGTATTGATAATTGTCTAAAATGTCACCTTCTGAAAAGAAGTAACATTGTAATTTTCTAAAATGTCTGCTTTAACCGCCCAGGCATCAGTCCCAACTGTGAGTGAATCAGTCATATAATATTCATCATCTGTTGCGAACAAATGTTAATTGGAAGTTTACAGACAGCTCGACATCTTAACGTTTTAAGCTTTGTCAAAAATCTAATTGAATTATTGTCGTTTATTAAGACATAATTCAGCAGATGTTTCTCTGTTTGATTTTACTGAAATAACTGAGTCATGCACGTGCATCCATTATGGATCAAGTTTCTGCAATACAGTTCATCTTTACGGTTCAATATTTATCTTCAATGCCTCTTTCTGTGACCATTTGGAAACTGGATGTGTGTTTAATGTACAATGAAAATTTAAAAGTCTCTGGGATTACTAAAATTAGAATATGATATTCTAATAATAATGTTCACACGTGTAAATGGTAGAAGCTACATATACAATGTAGGTTATCTGCATAACATTATGCATAAGGATATTAAAACACAAAATCATTTATCAATTAAATATGTCATGTTGAACCAAACTCATATTGATATAATTTATAACCACATATTTACAGGAATAAAATCCATATGGTTCTCTTTTGTCACATTATTTGTACATAATAATGTTTTTACCGAATATCACAACAATAATTTCGTGACAATGCACAAATGTGCTATTCCATGCTATACCATATATAGATATTATTCCATGTACAAAATTAATAAATTTACATTTAGATCTTTATATAAATACTATCAACTAATCTACTATCTATTAATATATCTAATAATATCTACAGTCTAAGGCGCCGCGAGTCGCTGTGCAGAGTTGCGTCCCTTGGGCACGCCAGAAACCTATGATTGTTGTTTCGAATCCCGGTTCGATCCGATTGTGTTTCTAGGTTTGTCAGCACCATACCCGAGCTCGTGGGTTTCACCGAAGTGGTAAACGTCTGAGACCTTCATCACTTGGGGCTTTCCTTCCACATTAAGCTGACACGCCGTGATCTAACTGGAATACTGTTAAAAGCGGCGTCAAACCCAACTCACTCACTCACTCACTAATAATATCTACAAATACATATGCATTATGTGTCAAGTGGATGTACGTTGTAACCACAGAAAATATTTTCGCATGGTGTTTCACACCAAACACCATCAAACATGACCACTGTCAGTTGAGCATTATGTTTGCCATTTCAGAAAAACAATCAGATCGTGTAGCCTTGTATTTTGCTGGAGTGTCCCTGATCATTGCCGGAGTTGGTGCCATCATTGCATGGGTGCTGATAAAACGCTGGCCCCCTCTCAGTGATGACAATTTCTCCCGGGCTATTTCGATATGCGCGGAGACTACCGGCGAGGAGGAGGAGGAGAACGTTGTCGTGGAATGTGTCGAGGACCGTGTCGAGGAGGAGGAGGCAGATAACCCTGGTGAGGAGGAGGCAGAAGAGCCTGGTCAGGAGGAGGCAGAAGTCCCTGTCGTGGACCTTCGCGAGGGGGAGACAGAGAACTCTGGGTAAACTAGTGTTGCTCCGGTAGATTGCTAAACGATTGATTCGCAAAAATGAACTGTACTTTTAATTGTTTGTTTTGCCACCAGGCACATTTGAATATATTTCTTCTGTACTGAATAAAAAATGTTGATAATTACTTTTCGTTGACAACAATTTATATGACACACCATAACAATTTCATGATGTGAAAGAAATCAGCTAATACCGAATATAAAATCTCGGTGATAACAGTCAATGACACAAAATATTAATGATCGACACCAAATCACATTGAAGTCCAGTGCCAATGGTACTGGCAACGTAACTATATAAAATCAACGCCAAAGAATAACCCGTCTCAATTATACAATGGGCGGTCGGGTAGCCTTGTGGTTAAAGCGTTCGCTCGTCACGCCGAAGACCCGGGTTCGGGAAGTGGGGTTGGGGGTTGGGGTTGGGGTTGGGGTTAAAGCGTTCGCTCGTCACGCCGAAGACCCGGGTTCGGGAAGTGGGGTTGGGGGTTGGGGTTGGGGTTGGGGAGAGAGATAGTTTTAATGTCTCAGTCCAAACATTTTCATGCCCTCGAACATGTTAATCAATGATCCAGCCAAACCGTGTTGTAACTAGACGTATCTCTCGTTAGGAGGTTGGATAACTGTAACATATTTTAAACATTGACATCGTTATTTGTAATGAAGTTAACAAATAGAAGTGGTTGGTCAAAGCAAATTTTATTTGCCGTTAAAAAATGGATTCTTTTGCAAACAAATGGTCGGTCCCTAATCTTAATTCGACCTCATGCAAACGGGTCAGACACCTGCTGCGTTGTTTTTACCTCGTCGTGTTATCCATATTTGTGTGCTATAAGCATATAGAATTGTTCTTCCATGCCTGATAACAGTGTAAATTATGGTATGGTAACAATTGAATCTTTTAGTGAAAATAACTTCTGTTTAATTCTAAACACTTTTCTGTGTCGTCTAACATGCTGGGCCTATGGACGTTTCTGAAATGTTAAAGATATTTGATATGGTCGACTGCAAAAGTTGTCAGTGATAAATTGTCCCAGAATATTTGACCTTGATCAAATCTTTGTTCGGTTTTACTGTGGGTCTTGTTCGGACTATTAGTGTTCCACCATTGGGAACATAATCGGCACCATTGTCAACAGTTTCGACTTGATTCATTATCAAGGCAGTAGACGGTTTTGGTCTCACGTCACGAGAGTGTTTGAAATAACTGTTGTGATACGAGGTCTCGCTGGTAGTTTTCTACAGAAGAACTCACAGACCAATGCTTTGGTGTCCTCTTCGTCAGTTTTATTGCTCTTACTGTTCAGCTGATAATCCTGAAGGAAAGTCTAAAAAGGTCAGCTCTTCTATCGATGGGTGTCTCCATGGTGAACCAGGTGGCTATTGGTATTGTGTGGGTTGCAGTGGTCATTTGCTTCGTGCTTCTTGTCTTTGGTGGGTAAATTATACCTCACAACCTCTGTTCACTCACTATATAATATTGACTGTTTGATGGCAGGGATGGCACAGTCGTCTACGGCGCCGTATTTCGCTGTGCAGAATAGCCTCCCTTGGGTGTGCCAGGAACCTGTGATCGTGGGTTGGAATCCCAGATTCACCTGCATTAAGTTTCTAGGTTCGTTAGCACCATGCGGTGCTTGTGGGTTTCATCAAACATCAAACAATTTCACGGATTCGGGCTTTCCCCTCACATCAAACCGACACACCCAAACTGAAATACTGTTCAAAATGGCGTTAAACCCAACTCGCTCAATCACTCTTTTAGATTTGTCAGCACTATACCCTTGCTCGCGGGTTTCACCAAATTGATGAACGTCTGAGACCTGCAGCACTTTGAGCTTTCTTTCCACACAAGCTGATACATATAACTGTTCAAAACGATGTAAGCCCTACCTCACCACTCACACTTTAGTTCTATTTTTAGACACCACATTTATGGGAATACAGTGCAACCACAGTGATGGGGGTAACTGAAGACTTACAGATTTGTATTCAACTTCCAGTTTTCTCTAAAGTAATGATGAAGCCACTAGCGTTGGTTCAACGTTACGGCAGAAGAAGCTTGAAAAGAAGAGTCAATCTGAAAATATGTGTAACACTGAATAAATCATTAATATTATATTCAACATCTGTGGCGAACAAATGCTAATTGGAAATTTGCTAACGGATCGGATATTTTAACGCTTCAAGAGTTGTCAAAAAGTAATTAAATGACTGCCTTTTATGACATAATTCCGCTGATTGAATCACTTGGTTCCACTTAGAAAAGGATATCTACATTGTCATTGCTTGATTTTGATAGTGTTGTATTTCCTTATGTAATCTATCTTGAATATCATGGATCCCCATGCCATTGACAAAGAAGGGGTGTTAGACCAAAGTGACTCTCTCGTCGACTACAATATTAAAATATAGCAACTGTTACAGTGTTACTATCCCAACATGTTTAACATATGCCCCCCTGTCGACCTTTCACACAGTATAGGTGAAGTATTAGCACGTACTGGTTTGTGTGATTTCAGACTTATTTAGATCAGACTTATTTGGAGATGTGACACAACATTCATGTTAATATTCTAGGATGCACATATGAACATCCAAAGCACTTGTGGAAATATCATCTTTTTCGACATGTTGCAGGTGAGCTTCTGTACATGTGGTCCATTATAATATTACTGTAACATATATATCACAGTGTAATTTCATTTTTCATGGATGTTTAATCTTGATTTGTGATCTTAATTGTTCTGGGTGACGTGTAACCCCTGTCTTCTCGAGTCATGCACGTGCATCCATTATGGAGCCTTTTGTGGCAGGCTAATGTCTCTGAAATATAGGACATCACTACGGCTCAATATTTTTTTCCGATGTACCAATTTCTTTGACCTTTTAAAACTGTATCTAGCTTGGATTACTAATTAACAGGATGTTATATTGTCATGTTTAACTGGTAGTATCTTAATGTTCCAATATTTACAGGAACAGAGGATCTTTCCATTTAATGATAATAATAATAATAATAATAATAATAATAATGTTATATTGCAGTGAAATGTATTACTAAACAATCTAATGTAAGCAGTGGTGTGGAAGTTAGTGTAATTTTGGAATCAAGTGTAATCTGGAATCTATTAGAACAGCTACACTAATCCAGAACCTTCTAGAAGGTGTATAGACTATATAAGGAGGCAAGAGTGTGTTTCTCTCATCTCATATTACATCAAGACCAGCGGATGTGTGAAGATCATTGTTTTCATCCTTGATATGCACCCAAGGCCTATTTTGGAAGCTTAACCAATGTTGCTCCTAGGGAATATTATTAGCACTGGCATTTTTGTTATTAACACTGTCATAGTTTATACTGCAACTGTAACTGTACTGCCACTCTTTTGTGTAATTTGTATTAATTTGTAAATATAGTTAACTTAATAACACAGTTGTTGATTTATACCATTTCATTGTTGTGTGTTAGTTCACATTGAGTTCCTTTACAGAAAGATCTCTGGGCTAACTTATTATTTCAATTTAGAAGTCGACAGTAACAATATTTTTATACGAATATCACACATTCATTTCACCACAACACACAAATATGCATGTACATACCATTCCATGTATGTTGTTTAACTCAGTTTAACTCTGCGGTATTCCACCTAGATGACGACGGTCTGTAAATCGAATCGAATCAAGACGAGACAACCCAGTGATTGATATCATGAGCATTGATCCACGCATCGTAGATCATTATCTCAATATTTACAACTGTAAATACCTATCTATGATTTCAGTAGATATAAATTGAACAGAGCACAGAGAACATTACCAGGTAATTAACACCATGAAACATGTCAGTTAAGCTCTGTTTGTGTTTGCCAGTTCAGCAAACATCGTGAAAGAAACATCCCCAGAACATAGAGATTTGGATTTTGCTTGAGCGTCCCTTCATTGCATGAGTGTTGATAATGCACTGGCCCCCTCTCAGTGATGAGGCTGGCTCCCAGGCATCGAGAACACCCGCAATAAGGACGCAGATGACCCTCGCCATAGGATTTTCGTTTTCGTTGTGTATGGATGGCATGTCGCTCTGGTGCGATTTTTAAAAATAAAAGAAATGGCGATCCCCACAAGTAGGCAAGAAATGACACTTTCGTCATTTTGCTTTTTTTGGGAGAGTTGAAAATGTGAGAAGATAATATGAAATATGTGAAACCTGAGAGCAACATAAATTGAAGACTGGGTCGCTTTAAACAGGATAGTTTGTAGCCAATAGGTCATGTATGCCGAGGAGTGAGGCATTTTCAATTATGATTATGCAAAGCGAAGCGTGACGTCCTTTAGCTTTATCTGCCACAACCAACTCGTCATTGGTTCGAAGAGCAGAATCCTCCCACATAAAGTAGTCATAGTTGAAACCTTGAATAAATGTCTGATCTTGACATTGACCTTGGTATTTGTAATGAATTTGACAAAAAACAGGGGTTGATAAAATCAAATATAATATTTGTCATTCTGAATAAAAAAAACCTGTTCATATTCCTTTAAAAACATTTCATAGAAAATTATCGGCCCCTAATCTTTAGAAGATTTTACAGAAACGGGTCTAGCACATTTAGTTACTGCGTAATATTGTCCTAGTCATGTAATTCAATGTTGGAAGCATTATAGGAATGTTGTTCGGTGCAGGATGAAACCCTGATGCATCTGTATCTGTCTTACAGGGTTGTCATTCGCTCAACCACCATTCATAATCATGAACTATGCAAGAGTTTACCTGCGGCTCTTCACCTTCTTCAGTCAGTTTATCGTGCTGATTGTTCTGCTGATCATCCGAAATTTCAGGAAGGAAAATCTGAGAATGTCAGGTCTTGTATCGATGGGAGTATCGGTTTTTGCTGCGGCCTTTGTCACTGTGGTCCACCAGTGGCTATCTGTAGTTTGTGGGATGAAGGGATCTTTTCCGTCATGACTGGAGCTGCCAATGTTGGGTTAACCAGTCAGTGTACTCTATGCACGCACTAAATATTCATTCGTTTTAGGGGGCAGGAGTTGCTCGGTTGTGTAAGACACCGTATTATGCCATGAGGAATAGCGTCCAGAAAACTGTGATCATAGGTTCGAATTCTAGATTCGCCTTCATTGTGTGTCCAGGTTTGTTAGCACCATCCAAGCTTATGGGTTTCACCAAAGAGGTAAACATCAAATACCTGCATCACTTCGAGCTTTCCTACCACAAGAAACTGATATTACTGAAAAACTGATGGAAGCAGCATTAAACCCATCCCGCTCACACACTCGTTCTAGGTTTGTCAGCACTATACCCTAATTTGTGGCTTTCGCCAAACTTATAAAAATCTTAGCCCGAAATAACTTGGTTTTCCCCAACATCAAGCAGACACGCTGTGATACGAACAACTGTAAACGTAAACCTTTACTCACTCACTCACACACACTAGTTCTGCTTTGTGACGTCACGTTTATGGTGCCATGTGTTTTGTCTGAGAACAATCACTGTGATAGAGGTAAATGAAGTCTTGTAAATTTGAGACTTATATTCATATTCCAGTGCTCTCTGGAGTAATTATACAACTTATGTTGGTGAACACTACGGGTAGAAGCAATTTGAAACTGGCGCTACGCAGTACTGCAAATCCGCATTCAATAAAGCCAAACGTAACTTCAAACCCCTAAAAATAGCACACGAATTAAATCACAAAGTACAAAGCTTAGTTAAAACAGCTAAAACTGGAGACTGGAAAAATTTTGGCGAAGAAATTAACCATCATACATACGCCAGAACAGTTTGACGCAAAATCCACGCCATTAGGGGAATTTAACGTCATAAAAAAACCCTCCCAACATAAATAATTCAACAAACCCCACCCAAAAAGCAAATAACCTAGCAAATCACTTCTCGGCCGTCAGTAGCAAAAGCAACTGAAATCAGAAACCAAATTTACCAAACCGCCAAAAGATAATAACCTAGAAATTAATCTCCATTTCACAATGGAAGAACTACTCCTACGTCCTACAAAATAGGAAAAAGGGCACAGCCCCAGGCTTAGACCTTACTTCATACCAGATAATTAAACAACTACCACCCAAACTACTCCAAACTCTTCTGAAACTCTATAACCTCATACATCTAAACGGACAGGTCCCATCACCTTGGAAACAAGCCCTGGTCATACCAATCCCAAAACCAATAAACCAGCTGACCAGGCTAATTCATACAGACCAATCTCCCTAACTTCTAACTTATGCAAAGTAATGGAATCAATGGCAAAAAACAGGCTACAACACTACAGTATGTGCTACAAAATGGCTGTCCGAAGAAAATCTCACTACCAATAACACCATATATACTTATATTGCTTTTTATACGTTTTTATGCAATTTGTTTTACTATGTATTATGTATGGTCTCTTATAACCCACATCGTGGGTGGCAGATATACTATATAGTGTACTTTTATAATAATGTATGTGCCTATGACCTGTATATCCGATGAGACAAAAATAAACAATTTGTCATTGTCATTGTCACACTACTTAGAACAAAACAACATAATAAATCCAGACCAAAGCGGTTTCACTCCTGGACGCTCAACCTTAGATAACCTCGACTGACCAGAGCAGGACATTAAAACAGGCCAACTTAACAAACAATATACTACAGGCATCTTTCTAGACTTCTCCAAAGCATTCGACATGGTTTGGCATAACGGGCTAATACAAAAACTACAAAAAATAGGTCTTAAAGGTCACATAATTAACTACATCCAAAGCTTCCTAGCAAACCACAAAATCACCGTGGGCATAGACCAAATGCTATCGGACCAATGTCCCATAGAAAGTGGCACTCCCCAGGGCAGCATCCTAAGCTCGACACTCTTCAATATTATGATTAACGATCTATTCGAGGGACTATCCCCCAAAGGAAACACATCAAAATTCGCGGATGATGGAGCCCTCTGGATCCGCACTAAAAGCATTAAAATGGACCAAGTCATTGCAAAACCCGATAAAAATGAATTACAGTTTTAAGTAAGGAAAAGTTGCCTACGTGCAAACATTTTTTAAATAAATGCGGCAAGAGGTTTTATATACATATTACAGTTCATTAAGAACACTGACTGGTCCACAGGAGAGAATGAAATAAATATGGGATCATACTTTATAATTCTCGACCATAAAGCATATCTTAAGTCAGAATAAAATGGACAGTTAATGAGAAAATGTATCTCATCTTCTACAGCTTTATTATTACATAATTTACAAATTCTATCCTGTAAAGGTGTGATAGGTTTAGCAAATCTACCAATTTCAACTTGTAAGGGTAATGTGCCGCAGCGTAACTTGCTAAGGATACTACAACGTGTTCATAATACATGTAACATAGGGTTCAGCAGACAACGAGTTTTTGAACAATCGATAAGTACGAAGCTTATTTCCATTTTGTAAACCTCTATCATTCCACAATTCTGAATACCAATTATGCTCATCTAACGTTAATAGCTCATATTTTGAAGGCTTTCCCTCATCTGGCCTACACCTTATATCGCCTACACCTCATCTGGCCTACACTAGATACAAATGGTTACTTCCACACCCCTGTTGTGTAGAATGGTACTGTCCATTAACCCATTAATGATTTCATTCATTAATATGTATTTATGACCTGAGTACATGGGCCTTTGAACTAATCCGATGTTTTCATAGTGGTATTTGATCCTTGAGTTTGTTTTGACTGTTTATACAGGATTACTGTTATAATCCACTTTTAAAAGGTCTACTCATCTCAAAAGTTTTGTAAGTGTGTATATATACCTTAGTAAGTACTATTGTTTCCCTTTACTTTGATCAACGAAATAGCTTTCACAATGTTAACAGGATCACCTCATCTCCAATTTAGGAATAGGTATATATGTTAGTTTTTAAGTTTGTGCATCAGTCTGAAAATGGCACATCTTCAAGGAGCTGAGTTCGTTACTTCACAGAGAGGCGGTCAGCAAGTGCCGGTACAGGCTGAATGTCAAGCGGCATCTTGCTGTTCACTGGAAGTGTATCACCATTGGCTGCAATGGCAGATGCAGCACCATTGGCGACCACATTACATCAACCAAGCCTCACAGTCATCCACCTACCAAGAATGTAGAACACATCCGCATCATCGCCAGAATGAAGGAGCAAGAGAAGACAGACATCATCCCTGTTTAGCAGATCTACAACGCCGAACTCGACCGAGCTGTCGAAGATGTTGCTGCCACGATGTCGTCCTTTGCCAGTGTCCAGCCTGCTCTCTACCGACACTGCTCCAAGTCCATCCCACCTCTCCCAGAATCCCAAGCCGCTGTCGACCTTCAAGAACCCTGAACTTCAATGCCACGTTCCCTCGAGCCCTGCGGAATCAACCATCTTGAAGGTTTCCACAACGACCTGAAGAAGAGAATGCCGAGAGCCCATCCCAACATCTTCCAGTTTGTCAAAGAACTCAAGAAGATCGAGACAGCAGATAGACGGTCAAGAAGGCAGATTGGACTGGGTGGTGCCATGAGACCTTGTGCTCGTGTTGATAGAGACCGAGATGCAAGGATCAAGAGACTGAAGCAGCAGCTTGCTAATGGCAGAAGATCAGTGATCCAGTTTCTGGATGCAGTTGGACATTTCATCAAATTACAGTAATTTAGCTAGTAATGATGTAGTGCTAATGTTATAAAACATGAAGATGATGGATATAAATGTACAGTGCTATGATAATACATGTGTATTTATGATATTTGATGTTGTGAAAACATTTGAGTTGTGAAGATGATCTCATGTACAAAATGTAATTACAGTATCAAAAGTCTTTACATTCTTTGTTATCTTGTTGGAAGAGTTCATTTTACTTAAGGGATAAGGGTACAAGTGTGATGTGCACTCATCCATAAATTTGTTTTGATAGTACTGTAGGCGATATGAGGTGTAGGCCAGATGAGGACAGGCCGTTTGCACAGCATGAAGAAATCTACCATTGACGCCAAGCCGACGAAGTTTATACCATAAACATGAACGATTCTCTTTGTCAAACGCCTTCATCGCGTCAATGAAACAAACATATGAGGATTGTCTAGACAACTTTCTATTATTGATAACGGAAAATAAACCAAACATATGCTCTTCACTGCTTCGCTTAGAACGAAAACCGTTTTGTTCATCAGCAAGAACGTTATTAGGCTCTAACCAGTGGCTTAAACGAGTGTTTAACACAACGGCGTATAACTTACATGGGACCGAAATTAAACTTAGAGATACCTCCATAACTCAACGGATCACGTGGATTGGTATCGGTTTTTTTAATTGGGTTAATAACACTAGCGCAACGTTTCTGGGCATGTATTGTTTTCGAAGCAAAAAGTAAAAAGCCTGAAAAGAATGTCGGTACATGTGCTGTTCTTAAGCGCCTCAACTGGGAGAAGGTCAAGGCTGACTGCCTTTCCACGTTTTGCACGTGCAATTGCTCGTTCGACTTACGCACGTGTAATTGGAAGATCCAGGTCAGTCCGGTCATTTGTAACCCAGTTGTTCGCAATCTCATTTTGAATCGAACTCAAATGATTATCATCAAAATTCGAGAAAGAGCTTTCCACAAATAACGACAAATAATCGCTTTGCCATTTATTCAAAACCGTGGTTTTAAAAAAATAAAATACATTACCGTCGGATTCAACCTCCCAGGGAACAAAATTACTTCTGTCTTTCGCAATACCAATCCTAACTATAGTCTTCCACAAACTGCGCGTGTCGACTTGATTATAATTGTCTAGTAAACGCTGCTGTTCAGCTAGTTGATGCGAACGTTTATGTCTACGTTTATGTCAAAATATTTACATTCCTGAACAAAATGGAACTTCAAAACTTTCTTTCGGACAGGAGATTTACATTTAAGATACCATTTTTCAGCTTCGCACGCTTTGTCCCATTGCTGTTGGAGCTCTAAACACCAGTAAGGCTTACGGACAGATTTAGATTTGTAATTAGAAAAATTATTTTCAGTAGGTAAAACAACCCTGTCTAATTCTGAATACATGAATGAGACAAAATCTTCATAAACATTATTAATATCGCCTTGAACAGACAATTCAGATTCAATTTTAGTAACTGTAGCATTAACCCTATCTAAACACATACGGTCATTCAAAAACGTGAGTGGTATTTTGCCTTTAACATAGAATTTGGATTTTTCTTGTGTATGTTCTTCCTGAATACCCTGACAACAAGGAAGGGAAATATCGCACGTTAACATCGAGTGGTCAGGGATACTATCGGGGACATTGCAGCCATTGACTAGTGATGACATAGTCAGAACATCAAACGTTTTAAAGTGACACAAATGCTCATGGGCTGTAATAATGTAATCTACTACTGATGACCCATTGTGTTCCAAGCCGACCATTTAGCATACACAAATTGGCTTGGGTCAAAAAATCAATTAACAGACTACCATATGAATTGTCCCTTCTGTCAATAACTTTCCTATCTGGGATACCATCAACCCCCTCAATAAAATCCCCCTCACAACCAACACGTGCATTAAAATCCCCACATATGCAAACAATTCCTTCATTCTGATATTCATACAGATTATCTAACAACAACTGAAAAAAACAATTCACCATCATTCACATGTGACGAAGATACAGAGGGTAAATAACAAACACTCTTCTAAAATCGGGTACGACCTTTGAAGTTAATCTATATCAAATAATGTCATTTGTACATTTATCTAAAAGTTCCACACTAAAAGACTGTAATATAAAGTTCTTGATGAAGGCACCGACGCCTCCAGAGCCCCTTTTGGCACGTTTGTGTTGATCTCGGCGATTATTGCCGATCCATGTGTAACCGTCTACAGACAAATTATTATTACCTTTTAGAAATGTTTCGCAAACACCAAACACGTCATACTCCAAATTGTGAACAACACTTTCACGGAATGATTTATTGTTGAGGTCTCTCTGTGCCCAGCCACCAGTGTTCCAAACACCTATCCGCAATATGTCCTATTCCTCAGCTGTCACTAGGCGTTTCCCATGGAATCTGAAGATACTGGACTTGCCGAATTCTTTGATTATTGTCTGAATGTTCGATCTATTAATCAACTCTTCTTGAGTGAGGGCTGAATCAATGTAGACACGGGAAAAGTCTTTACTTTTTACACTGCAAAAGTTTTTTCTTCTGGGCTGTTGTCTCCAAACTGAAAATGACAACACCCGACTTATCATCCGAGCGCTTTTTCCTAACTGCATGTACTGCACGGACGTCGGCGAGGTTCAAACCATCACGGATCACTCTGTTTACAATATTACATATGACATTATTGTCTTTGGTCTCACGCGCATCAAATGGTATGTTCCGCATTACACATTCGATATTACGACTCTGATCCCCATTGTTAGCAGCATCTGCAAACTTTACTTCTAAACATCCGACCTTTTCGGCAAGTTTTACACAGTTTTGGCCCACATTTTCCGATTTTCTGTGTACACGTACTCTCAACCGCTCTCAGTTTACTTGACAAATCTGATATTTAAGCGTCGAAATCTTGTCGCAACTTCAAAGTCTCAGCTCGTAGGACTTCAGTGAGTTTTTGAGTCACTCTAACTTCAAAGGCAACAACCAGTCTCGGGGAATTGCTTGAGATCAGTGCCCCTTTAACCGTACACATTGTACAGCGATCGGAGTTCGCTGGGCTGGCACTTCACCAGCGTATGTTCCACCATACAGTAGAGACCTTCAGATCTCCCCCTGACATACGCTGAAACACGCCCTACGCCACTAAACGTCAACACCAGAACGTCACATGACATCAGCACATGCTGGTCCAGGATAACCTGCTTCCAACCAGTGCACCGAGATTTCACATCAGGTTCCCGATCAATATGATACACCTTCCCTCCAATGTCCATAATTTGGCTTGGAAATAATTTCCGGGCTTGCTGCGTGACGTTTTCGGAGTCGGAAGTGACAAATATTTTGTATGTTGTTAGATCACTAAAATTTCGAAAAAAATTCCAAATCTTTTGAACATCTGGCATCGTAGCTCCCCTTTCAATGCTTACGTCATTTTGGTTTGAAGGATTTTTAAACAATCGAATCTGTGCACAAACGAGTTTCGATGATTCGTTTGGTTTAGCTCTTGAGAGGAATTGGGATAACTCCGCTTTCATTGATGCTGATAAAGAAAAGAGCGTCTTGTATGCTGTGGCAAAAACCTGGTCCCTTGTTTTATTTTCCATCCATGAGAATTCTTTCCGATGAGCTTTATTAGCCTTGAGGGCATCAACGTAGTCCAAATTCGCAACAAAATAAGCAACGTCATGTTTCAACCAGGTGGTAAAGTTCAACGATTTCACGCTGCTTATGAAGCCGACATTGTTCAGCTCATCATACACACCTACTGGTCTATCATCTCGCGCGACTTCAAACCGCGCGTCATCCCACTGGACAGAATTCGGTGTGAGGAATGACGTCAGGTTACATAGTGTCGATGTAATATCGATACCAAACTTTCTTCGCGTTGCCATAGAGATGTAGTATGCCATCACAATGCCCTTAAGTCTGTCGGACCATCCGCCACAGTGACCAAAACTAGCACACCTGTAGATGACATACTTAGTGTTTAACACATGGTGAGTGTTGGATTGTCCTCCATCAAACATTGTTATCAAGTTTGAGTTGGGGACCATTCCAGAAGATAGCCGCGGATATGTTTCACTGGGCTGGTGGACGGTCAGAAGCCAAATGATGACAAAAACTGCGACCAGGATACTTACGAGAAGTACTGATGACTTCGCTTTCTGAAAACATAAATATCGTAAAATATATCTTTATGCATTGACAGTGTGATGTATGTCATACGTTTGCATGACTTAGACTCTATTATGTACAGACCGCCCTGATGTAGCTGGGATATTGCTGAGTGCGGCGATAACAAAGAAATAAAGTGCGTTCACCTGAACGCTACGATCGCTTTGTTGAACGGGACGCTGGGCCTCTTCAAGCTTTACTTTACATAAGGTTGACTCCCCCTGCTGACTATGGCGTTAATTAACATTCCAATAAATCAAACCCATATTTCTTTGACATAGTTCAAAAACGCTGTTAACAGTATTTCATTTATATCAAGGCAAGTCAGTTTCATTGTGGTGGAAAACCCAACTGATTTATGCGCATCATTTTTCATAGTTTGTTTCTTAACGCCGCACTCAGCAATATTCCAGCTATATGACGGAGGTCTGGACCAGACAATCCAGTGATGGAAATCATGAGCATCGATCTACGCAACTGGGATACGATGACATGCATCAACCTAGTCAGGGAGCCTGACCACCCGATCCCGTCAGTAGCCTCTTACGATTAGCATGGGTGGCAGAAACTCAATTCGGATCTTCACGGGTGCAATATTTCATAGGGGCGGGAGGGTAGGCTTGCAGTTAAAGCATTCGCTCGTCACGTCGAAAGCACATGTTCGATTCCCAACATTGGTGCTATGTGTGAAGCCCATGTCTGGTGTCCCCCGTCGTGATATTGCTGGAATATTGCTAAATGCGGTGTAAAACCATACTGACGCACTCATTATTTCACGTACATAGAATACAGTTAGGTGAGTCAATGTGTCGGGTAATATGGCAAAATTCAAATTTTCAGCTGGGTGTACCAAACATGGGGAATCGAGCACGGGTCTCCGAAGTGAAAACATTTTAACCGTTAGATACAACGCCGTGATGTGACTGATAGAGTTTAAAGCGTCGTAAAATCAAACACACCACATGGAAAGCATACAGTTGTCCTATTGATGTACTTCAGGTGCAAAACGTATAATGTAACGCTTATTTGTGTTGGCTTGCGTCGGGTACTTGAATTAACCTATTGCTTGGCCAAAAAGTTCCATTATAACAGGGCCGCCTCAGTGATCTAGTGGATATAGCTTCAGCCCAGAGAGCGGAAGGTCGGTGGTTCGATCCCCGGTAGCGTCATACCAAAAGACCTTAAAATGTGGTACTTGTTGCCCTGCCCTGTCGGAATTAAGGTGATTAAACAAGGACAGGATGCCGTTGCACAAAGCGATCTTAGCGCTTAATTGATCTAACTCCCATACCTGTAAGGGGCACTGATCTAAAGCAATTCCCCGTGACTGGTTGTTGCCTTTGTTGTTGTTTTTTTCCCCGTGAGTACCCGGATGATACGTAACGCAACTGAGCTTGACAAGAGACTGGGCTACCGTCTGCAAGGACAGCAAAATAAACTTGGAGGCAATATGTGTTTTACTCATTTTTGAACACTGATTGGTTAACCGTGATCTATAAAGATTTCGACAAAGGGCGCATGATAATTAATTTCTTCAGCCTACACAAACAGACAAAACGAACGGCGGAGCTCATCGGATGTCGTCATTTAGAAATACCCCTGATTGTTATAGTTTAATAATAAAAAAAAGTATCCATGCAGTGAAAGCATTTTCGGATTTCGGATTGCGTCGATAATACGATTACTACTCCCTTGTTGTCATCCACGTTTTCTGGTATAACCCTACACTTGTGTATTTGTCGTCATTCACTTGATGCTCAGTTAATGAATTTATTACATGTATAATTAGTGGTAGCACTACTCAGAATACCTGACAAAGGTTCCCATTTGGCAATTATTGTGTTTGGGGTAATTATTCAATCTAAATCCATGTTTGAAGTGAGGTGAAATGTGTGTTATGTAATATGCACGTGGCAGTCCAGCAAGAGATGAATGATCAGTTGATTTACTTTTTTGTAAATCAACAGATCGTTCCTAGTCATCAAAGGATTAACAGAAAATTCATTGATTGATTAATCACTGTTATCTTGCACAGTGGATATGTCAAAAGTGAGTGTTTACCTTTCTAGGTTTACTAAAACAAAGGGAACACACTCATATCATGGCGTGAAGTGCCGATGTAAAAACAGCATACTTTGTTTAAAGGGTTAACCGATAATACGTTGATTGATTGCTCATTGTTATCTAACTCAATGGATTTTTTTAGGAACCGTGGACATTATGAAAATAGTTGTCACATGGGCTTTATCAGCCGACCTTTGAGACTTGACACCTATGTGAAACACCTGAAACAATCTAAAAGATCAGTTGAGAAACGAACACCGGTTATAATATCCCGAAACGATATATATATTTTAAAATATTTGATTGTTACAGAGACACGTGACATCGAATAAGTTTCTTTGTACGGCTGCAGACGTGTGGGATATTGTTCCTTTGTGTGGATATTCACGGATACATTCCTCGAAAAAAGGAAGCTGCCTAAAATTATACACATAAATTTGGTAGGTTGTAATTATGATATTTGCATTTTGTTTTCCTTCATTTGCTGTAGCATTGAACAGATTCATTCTTGTTCCTCTAGGTCTTTGTTAGGAAATTCTTCGAAGCGCGATAGTCTTTTTTTGTAAGCGTGTAATATATTACAGTCAATTTGTAAAATGTGATTCAATCAGACAATTAATAAAATGTGTAAAAATTTCAGTAATTTTGACTGAAAAATATGTCACAGTCCATTTAACAGATTGACTAAAATTGATTAAGACGATCAAAAGGGCATAAAAACATCACAATAGATTATTATGATATTAAGTCCTACGTAGGAGATAGTAAGTCCTACGTAGGAGATAATAAGTCCTACGTAGGAGATATTAAGTCCTACGTAGGAGATATTAAGTCCTACGTAGGAGATAGTGATTCTAGGCCATACTAAGTCCTCCGCAGGAGATAGTAAGTCCTACGTAGGAGATACTTAGACAAAAAACATTTTCACCGTGGCCCTACTACGCTTCCGTATACAACAGATCAGGGCGATTGTAACCTACTTTACCATGGCTCAACATTTAGAGTTGAGAGACGGACTGTAAATCGTTTTCTGACTGTTTCATACGCTAAGGTTTGATATACATGTATATCATCAGAAGTTTCAAATATGTGTATCTCATGCAAATGAAATAACTATATGCGTGTTTATCAGTGTTAGCAATTATATTTATATATGGCCCCCATGTTATCAATTGTTCAAACACGAATGCCCCGTAAGAGGATGTCACAACGACCTTCACACACAATTGGTTTTCACATTACCAGTGTGTTTGTATGGAAGCGTATATATGACATATTCTAAAATAATCATCTACTAGAATTTCTTTCATCAACGTAGATGAAACTAACATTTACGTGGAAGATATTGTATACTCGTAAATAACTATCATCGTACGTATCGTTACTCAGATAGTGATATTGTCTTGTGAAGTTGATGAGTGAGTGAGTGAGTTGGGTTTAACGCCGCTTTTAACAGTGTTCCAGTTATATCGCGGCATATCAGCTTAATGTGGGAGGAAAGCCCGAAATGATGCAGGTCTCAGACGTTTACTACTTCGGTGAAACCCACGAGCCCCGGTATGGTGCTGACAAACCTAGAAAAATAATCGGGGCGAACCGGCATCCAAACCCACAGTCATGGGTTTCTGGCGTGCCCAAGGGACGCAACTCTGCACAGCGAATCGCGGCGCCTAAGACGACTTTAAGAGACATTTCAAGGTTGAAATCAAACATACCGTCGGCGATTATTTATTAGGCCAGAGGTTATATAAAACTGACCCAAGTCGATATTTACGTTGATTATAATATCGTATACGTAGATAGAGGTTATCACGCGAGTGTGTTTGGGGATGGTAAATATCTTGCATTAGGAATAAACATTGTATTTAGCGAGCCTTACGTAAGCAATGTGAATTACTGTTCAAAACGGAATAAACCAACTTACTTATTATTCGCTCATTATTTTTTCTTCATATGGCTGCATATAACTGTGATCCATATACAGCTGTTGTATGTAACACGCGTGTCAGAATCGTTATCGTCGATCAAGATCTAAAAATATGGGCGTCAGCTCAATCGGTGAACAGCTTGTTAACGACGAACCTTCAGAGCATTGAGCAAGATTCATATTGTTAACAGAAAGTCAGTCGAACCGAGATACGGTGGCCAATAACGGACATGGAGTCTGTTTTTCAATATTTTGATATTTCACTTACTGTTATCGTAATCTTTGGCAAATTAACACGATTTGTCATACAAATATGTGATAAATCATGTATGAAGAAGATATTGAATCGCTCAAAAGTGAAGCGAAAATGTCAAAAACTAAAATGAAAATGTCAAAAACGAAAAGGTCAAAAACTAAAATGAAAATGTCAAACCGATAACGCATATCGGACAGGACCAGCATCTCTCATTGTGCGGATCAGATAGAGTTAGGCAAATGTAAGGTGTTAGATCTTTATGTGTATCTACATCTATCTTTATCTATCATTCACCGTCCAAATCGCATGGACCACGTATACATTCGTGGCATACTAGCAACTGGTAAGCTATTTTTCTTACAAAAACTCACTAATGACCACCTTTATCATCAATGCCTCGGTCAAACTAAATTATATATAATTCGGCCTAGATGGCGCCAGTAAAGTTCACAGTAACAACCTTATCGTCAGTAAATGAGCTTTACTGTGGTAGATAGAATATGTAACCTTACGGACGACAGACAGTCACAAATCATTCTGTGGCTGTCAAATAAACTGACTGTTTATGCACTCAGGAAAGAAACCTTACTATCTTGTACTATGTTAAATCTTAACGATATGCTATTATCCTGCTATTAAGTCTGTGTGGTAACTGAACATGTCACACTTGTGTGTATATCTTTGATATTCCCAATGTACTACCTCTGTGTACAGATTATGCCAATTTTGTTAACTTATTTACGTTGTTTACCTTTTGGAATATGTATTGTGGCTGAACTGAATGTATCTAGTGTGAATGCCCACTCGGGTAATGTATTATTTATAGTGTGTCGGATATACCAGGTTCAATCAAATGTAAATGGTGTATTACGTTGTATACCTTGGAATATGTATCGTAACTTATGTGGTATGTATCTTGTATAATGATTCAATATCATGTTCATCACATGTTCGGGGCGGTCGGGTAGCCTAGAGGTTAAAGCGTTCGCTCGCCACGCCGAAGATCCGGGTTCGATTCCCGACATGGGTACAATGTGTAAAGCCCATTTCTGGTGTCCCCCGCCGTGATATTGCTGAAATATTACTAAACGCTTCGTAAAACCATACTCACTCAATCACTTATCATATGTTCGTCACATATATGCTCTAATAAATATATAAAATAGCATAATATTCGTTTGTTTGTATATTTGTTGTTTAACGACGCACTAAGCAATATTCCAGCTATGTGACTGTGATTTGTAAATAATTGAGCCTGGACCAGACAATCAAGTGATTGAAATCATGAGCATCGCCCCACGCAATTGGGATATGGTGACATGCATCAACCATGTCAGCGAGCCTGATGACCCGATCCCGTTAGTCGCCTCTTGCAACAAGCTCAACTCAACTCAATTGTTTCTCACACCTATGGTAGTGCAAGAGAAAAGTTACTATAGTGTACAGTCTGGAAGTTAATTTAAGGTACCGACGTTTACTACAATATCTGAAAAACTATTGGACCTACTCCAGTCAAAGTTGGTATGAGATTATTGAACAGTCATACATAACTCGATATTACATTTAAAGACAATTGGTGCATGAATAAAAAATCTGTCTATTTAGCTATCACTATATTTCATCAACAACCAGACCTGTTCGTCACGGGTGGAACGAGCATTCATTGTAACAGCCATCTGCATAATGCTACCCCTGCGATACAGATGACACAGTTTCTCTCTCACGAATCCCACGAACTACAAGAATGTTTTGGAATCAAATAAGATATATTTAAGATTCTTAAGAAATGATCAAGAATATGTACGAATATGTAAAAATTCATATCCGTGGTAATTCGGGCTATTACATGTCGTAGTGAAACAGGGGTATATGTATTGCACTATTCTTGGTCCCACGAAATGTCCTCGTCGTCAGATTCGGAGTCTGTGCTGTCACCTAAATGAACAACAACAGACTGGACAGTATCTGGTCGGATACAGTCTTGTTTCCAATACTCTTCCTCAACTTTGATAACATGTTGGCCACAGTTTGCCCAACGTACATTTGTAATTTCTCCCATCACTTTCAAGACAATCTGCTTGACGTCGGCAAGCTTGAAGGTCTTATTTTGCCGTGCGACCATATTTTTCAAATCACCCCAGATTAGTTCATCTCGGTATGGTAGTCTCTTCCATCTGTAGATCTGGATCTGAACACTAGATCACACCCAGGGAGGAAACCTCTTTGGGAGCCTGCATGGAGGACAGTCAGGCGCCCCCCTTTATCAGGGGGGATCTTGCGCTGTGGCTCTCTGGTATCTGGGTGAGACCATTGGTAAGCCGCTGTGTGGCAGGCGTTAACCCAGGTTTCGTCCAAATAGACAGGCTCATAGCCTTCTTCTTGTTTCTTTCTAATAGTGAGCAAATAATTGATACGCAAACGAATGCTATCTGGTCGTTCACACATTGCTAGTTTCGACCCTTTCGTCTTTTTGTACTAATATCCAAATATGGAAAGGAGTTTACAAATGGTCCATTTGGAAATATCTAAGTCATGCTCTGTAAGGAGAATTAGTTTTAGTTTTCGTGTTGAAATAAATTCATTTTCTCGTGTTAACCGCCAAATCACGTCCCTGACAACTTTCCGCCCGGAGAGCGGAAGTTTCGGGGCTCGCTACCCGACCGCGTCATACCAAAAGACTTTAAAAGATGGTACTTGTTGTTACCCTGTCTGGCGCTCGGCATTAAGGGGCTAAAACAAGGAGTGAGTATACTGTGTCTGAGTGGGGTATTTATGTTAAACTGCGGCATGGTATCTCAGTGAGCTAGCACTATAAATCGGCATCAGTCCGGACTAGTACAAGCAGACACACACACACACACACACACACACACACACACACACACACACACACACACACGTGCATGCACGTCGCTATATAAGTGCAGTAATCTTGGACGCGACGTTAAACCCCATTTCACCTCACCTCTTATCAAAGGAATCTAACTTTAATTTCCTATCCTGTTTTGAGATGCAGTGGAGCGTGTGTTTTTATGAGTGTTCAAAATCTTAACTACGGTTTGTTTGGGAAGCTGTAACGCATGAATTGTTCTTTTTATGTACTTTGAAATGTCAAAGAAGGGCGAACGTCTTTCACTTTCAGCCTTAAAGTATTCAAATATTTTAACAACGAAACCTTTCGCATCTGCGGAAAGATGCTTGCGCTGAGACATCATGAAATCTCATGCTAACACCGTGTTCGTGCGTGCGTGCGTGATTCCCGTGCACACTTTCGAGTTGAGGTGATTGGTTCAACTGTGTCATATGGCCCTGTGACGCATGGGGAGCATTATGCAGATGGCTGTTACAATGAATGCTCGTTCCACCCGTGACGAACAGGTCTGGTTGTTGATGAAATATAGTGATAGCTAAATAGACAGATTTTTTATTCATGCACCGATTGTCTTTAAATGTAATATCCAGGTATGTATGACTGTTCAATAATCTCATACTAACTTTGACTGGAGTAGGTCCAATAGTTTTTCAGATATTTTAGTAAACGTCGGTACCTTAAATTAACTTCCAGACTATTTTTTAATACATGGGAATACACCATTTCGTATACTATAAAGGTATGCATGGGTATAAATAAATAACTTATTTGTTTCATATGTTTGTCAATAATTGAAAGGAATTTTGTGAGCTTCTTAAGATCTGTGACTCTTTTGGAAGAAAGGAGGGTTTTTTGAATTTAGTGATGTGGGAATAATGTGTGTATTTATGGGCTATGAGTGAGGTTCTATAACCATTAAATGTTTCACATCTAAATAGGTAACGAAATTCATCAGCTATAGATGGCGATTTGCAGAGTTTACATGTTCGTAGCTGTCTGTCTATGCCAAGCCAGCGGCCAACTTCTGTAGGTAAATGGTGGTTACATGTTCTGAATTTTATGAGAGTGTTGCAAATATGTTTAGGTAGTAGGAGGAATTTTTAGTAGGAGGTATATCTATTAGGTATTTATAGTAATTTCCAGCCAATGAAAACATAATTGGGCAGTGAATATCTGAGAACAGGTTAGAAAATTCAGAAATATTAAATTCATGAAAGCATGGGAGGCACTTGCTTGAAGATAAAACATAGTCAACTACACATGAGTCTTTACACGTCGGACTACCCACTCCATTGACTTTATCTGGTCTCCCATTGCAGATAAACAAGTTTGTATTTTTACAGAGTTCTAAGAGCTTAAACCCTTAGCCATGTATTTTTCCTACATCTTGTAAGTGGAAGAGACAACGATTCAAGAACATTTTCAGGTTCATATATATCCTTCATTTTCTCAATATCTATATCCAGTTCCTCAATTATATGTTTCTCAACAGTACAGAAATCTCTAAGTGTTTGGTTCTTGCATTGAAATATCCCATTAATAAAATGTAATCACTCTTAGCTTGCATGTGTCAAATAGACTGCTCAACCAAGAAGCATATGTCATCCTTCTGGGAGTAGATATATAACAGCAAAGTTTAAATCTTGATCAAAGTTGAAAAAATGTTTTTGACATAAGGAACCGCATTGCATACTCACATTTATAATCAACAGGTGGGATGTAATCATTGCATTTTTTTCTTACTGCTAAGCCACACCACCAGATTGTATTTGGAATCCAGTTCTATGTTATAAGTATAACTCACAACTATCAATATCAAGTTCATCAAGTTGATCAGTTTTGGGTTTTTTTTCTGGAGTCAAATCATATCAGAATTGTCAATGATGCTAATAAATTGTGGGTATTCTAGTCTTCTTCTTAGTCCACAGACATTTAGACTTGTAAAATGTATACAGAATTAAAGAGAAGCGTGCCTTCGTGGGAAATATTCCCAACATCACTTAATTCATCCACTGTGTTATTCAATGACTGAATCAGGGGGTAATGCATTTTGACTGGAGAAATATAAATGATGACGAACACAGGTGTCCAGGCAATTGTTATCATTTGACAAGTCATGCAGAATACAACTTGTTGTGGTGGTTGCGAGTACATATCGTCCACGGACTGCCTTAATATGTTGCCAGTGCTTCTCTCGGTGGTCATTTACGGCAAGCATGGGTTGCTGAAGACCTGTTCTACCCCCGGATCTTCACGGGTCACAAACTGATGTCTACATGTGGACATATGAATGGACATGGTCAAACAACGAACCACATGCAGTGTATTATTTGCTACAATAAATAAAGCCTAGCCTCTTGTAACAAAACGTGCTATTTTATGTGTAGTATTACTACATTAATTAATCCGTACATGTGTTTCGGACATGAAGAACAACATCCATTTATGTTGTAAATTGGACATTTTGTATTTCGTACTCACTCTGATAAGAGCCATTGTCAGTCAAGTGTTTCAGCCTTCATATACACGTTTATCACCGGGTCGTCTAGTAGCAATCGACTAGCTCCTCGGCCCAGGCTGTTTGCGTGTGGAGTACTGAAAGTATGGTGATCTGTTGGGGAAATATACACCAGGTGTTATATTGTGTTATCAGTATTGTAGCGATCTCTTCAAATAGCAATGCATCCTGGAACGAAGATACTTCACGCAAAGGGGTATTGCATTTTGCTCAGTCTCATTGAACATCCAGACAACAATACAGGTAATTCCCGGGCGTTGGTAATTAAATGAAACAGGAGTTTAGTAGTTGTTGTTGTTTAACGCTGCACTCAGCAATATTCCAGCTATGTGAATGCGGTCTGTACATAGTCGAGTCTGGACCAGACAATCCAGTGATGGAACATTAGCATCGATTTGCGCAGTTGGGAAACGATCAACCAAGTCAGCGAGCCTGACCACCCGATCCTGTTAGTCGCCTCTGCCGATAAGCATTGTCGCCAATCACTTCAAGCATGGGTTGCTTAAGACCTATTCTACCCCGGATCTTGACGGAAGTTTAGTAAGGCCCCCCTACTTACCCACTGTTTGGAAGTACGAGGGTAACGTTCTGAGTCTCACACAGAAGGAGCTGCGTAATAGTGGAATATTTGTTGTTGACATTACATGGTGTTTTAGAGGTATATCCACAAATACTTGAGTCAGTTGAGCAAATCGTGACTTGTCAGTAAGATAAGCAGTCGTCTGTGATCTTTGTCAAAAGGGCAAACTTGAGGAACGCGCAGTGATAAAACACTTTTAAAAAAGAGGGTTTAACATCAAAAGCCACCAATGGAGATAGCAGTAAACACAAGGGAAGGATGCCCCTTCCTATGTCACCGTAAAGAGGTGTGCAGCAGATTTTAAGCGAGGCAGGGAGAACCTTGAAGAGGACCCCCGTCCTGTTTTGTTTCTTTGTTGTTTAACGCCACACTCGGCAATATGCAATCTATATGACGGAGGTCTGCCAAATAATCGATCCAGTGATTGAAATAAAGAGCTTCAATCTACGCAATTGGGATACGATGACATGCATCAACCAAGTCAACGAGTCTGACCACCCGATCCCATTAGTCGCCTATACCGACAAGCATAGTCGCCTTTCACACCGGGTTGACCACCCTCCTGAAGGCATGTGTCATGTGCATTGCGCGCAACAGATACCGGGGAGGGCATGCCAGAAATACGAAACCTAATGCGACCTAAAGGTAGCCTTGGGCATGCGCCGTCTGATTGGCCATTAACAGCCTAAAAGGCGGGGCAAAAAGCATCGTTTTTCCGTCCATTTTACGCTTGAAAAACTCGACGCTTTTCCGAACACTTTCTCGACGCTCACCAATTAATCAATTTTAATGAGTATTTAGTCGTTTTTCCGTCCAATGACCATATGCGGGAAAACGACACTTTCGTGTTTGCAGTGTGATATAGAGAAACCCGTTTTCATGTCATGTCAAACGAATTTAGAAGAAGAAACATCGTATTTCATAAAATCGTTGATTTGCTTGATGTTAAAATATTTGTCAGAATCTGGACAAAACATGATACCTTTCTGTCATTTCTGCTTGAGGTTTTACCTGAACAACATGAAGGTGAATTAGACTACAATGTTTTGACAGAAAGCATGATACATAATGGCAGTGCAGTTAAAAAGTGTGAGCATCGATCTTCGCAATTCTACATATGTGAAAGGTAAAATACACCGTCTCCGAGAGATGCGGCGGCAACAAAAGGATTCAGATGCTTGCAGGTAATAAGGTATCATTTTTAATTGTTTTATTTCTTTTTGGAGTCCACAAACAATAAGTTTACAGAATATAGTTCACATGCAATCTTAAATGCATACAAGTTTCAAAGTATATCTATGGATAATAACAAACAAAAACTATTCCAGTGTCATATTGTTGGATTGTGCAGGTTCATGGGTGTACACGAATAGGTGGTGACAGAGTGACCAAAATTTCATGAACTGTGTGTATTTAGATTGTGAATATGATATACATGTCTTTATAGAATTCTATAGTCAGGAACCGGACTTTTTTATTTTTCATATTTTTCAAAGATGTTAAAACTTCCTCATATTGTAACTCACCTTCGAGGCCTAATTGTTGTGGTATGCTTAGGTTTTGAATATCAAGGTCTTAAAACATATCATCTAGGTCTACGTTTCTACATGTCTGTTTCGTGTACAACTGTTGGTAATACTTTTGGGTTTTGTTGATGTTATCTTTTGTTTCAGTTATGGTATGAACATTCTTTGTATAGCCTTATTCAGTTAGTCCCTTTTTTTCTTAGTATAAGAAGTATTTTGTTGGTTTTCGCCAATTTCTCTCCATTCTGCCAGAGATCGCATAATTATTCCTTCTGGTTTTATGTTATTTATTTCTTCCAGTTCAGTGTTTGCCTCTTGAAGTTTCTTGAATATTTTAGTTTTTAATTTCTATATCCTTTGAAATATCTAGATTGATTTGCAATTCTTCGATATGTTTTTGTAAGTCGTCACTTTCCTTTCCTTTCCGAGGAGTATTTTATAGTTTGACCTCTTATCATCGCCTATATTAAATCAATCGTTGCCTTGTTCATCGACAACTGTTTTATATTGTTCTATTGTATTTTTAATTACTTCTTTAGTTTTTTTCAACCAAAGTTTTGTCGTTTAGAATTAATAAACTTCTAATAACCTCTTCCTCTCTCGTAAAGTAGACATAAAGGCAATGGATAACTTCTTTATTACAGTAAAATAAAGAAATTAACTGCTATTATAGTTTAATAAACAGTATAATAAAGAAGTTGTTATCCATAAACGTTTTGTCTACTTTGTCATCCGTCAACTTCTAAGAAATGCCCATCACACAATTCAAGTCAGGTGATATAATAAAAACAAAACAGAAAGTTTTATCGAAAACGAATATACAAATTACCTAACTTACCTTTACCTGAATTCAATTTTCATTTAATACGATGATCTACATCACTGGGATGAACCGCCATGGCTCATAAAAGTTACTACCGCCTTTGTTCTATACATGGTAACAAAACAAAGGAAGATTATATTGTCAAGATTAGGATGACCTAACTTTTCGCCTTGTACAATCTGCTCTTTCTCGTAATAGATGGATAGTTTTGTTGTTTAATGCCCAATGAAAACCCGCAATTATTTTGACAAAAAGAACTGACATGGAATATTCATGCATTTTCAGAATAGAAGGGTAAATGTGATTAAACATATGTATATGTTTTGTCATATTTACCCTTTTGCTCTGTAAATGCATGTGGATACAGTCTCTCTTATTTCCTTAAGGAATGGTTATCTATTAAATGCAGTTCCTAACGTATAGACATCTACTTGATGTCCGTAAGATGAGGGAGAACTACATCAACTGCCTGTCTGTATAGTACTGTCCCTGCGAGGGGCATGGCAAGGATAATTTAATATCCGCCGGATAACTGGCTTTTCTAGTGGCAGTAGGGACCAGGTAAAGCATTGCTAAATGGTCCCAGGTGAATTTCTTATTGTATGTCTTGGCGACATCTTGTGAAAGGGAGATAACTCTCTTTGGCTTATTATATGTTCCTCGTTCTTTAGGCACTGCTTACGGATCCTGGATATCATCGTGGGATGTTCCGGGTTGCTCAAAGACAGACAGACAGACAATAGTTTATTAACGTCTCACTCCTGTACATTACATAAAACAGCTTTGTACAACTTGACATAGATAAAATGTACAAAACCATTCAATAGAATTATGAGAGACGAATTATCACAGAATTTATACATAAACTGAAATTCAGGGGGATTAATGGGAATAGTGCTGGGGATTATAGTCTGATCGTGACCTGTGAACACCTTGATCTAGCTACATTTTTGCAAGTACCCCACTCAGACACAGTATACTGACTCCGAGCCGACCAGTCCTTGTTTTAGCCCCTTAATACCGAGCGCCAGACAGGGTAACAACAAGGACCATCTTTTAACGTCTATTGGTATGACGCAGCCGGGATCGAACCCCGGACCTTCTGCTCTCCGGACGGACGCTCTACCACTAGACCACTGAGGCGGTCGTTTTTTTAACAGTGACACTGATTGTTGACTAAGGTAAAGCTGTGTAACCACTTAAATAATAGAAAACAGAATATAGCCCAAATATGTTAAGCATATTAAAATATGATATTTTATCAAATATCAAAATATGTTTGTGCGCAATGGCGCACTATAACAAATTTCACTTTGTCTCCCTTTGATTCATGTTAAGACGGAGAAAATGTTGTGTTTTATAAGGATCTGTTTTGTGATATCAATATGCACATAATATCCTAAAACCTGTACTATATTTTTAAACATGTAATATTATGCATGCAATGTAACTTGAGGTACAGGTACACGCGGGCGGGCATAGTTTTAGTGTGATGGATGTAGGGGAATGGCGGGAGGGTGGAAGGATGTATTTATTTAAGCATAAGCACAGACAGACAGAAGTGTTGTTGAGTCCCCATTTTTACAATATATGAGGGTGGATATAATTCTAGTGAGAAGAATGTTGGGAATTGCGGGAGGGGTGGGAGGAGGGTGTATTTTATGGAAGCATGAGCATGGATACATGAGGGCTGACGTAGATACAGTAAAGTACGGTTATAACGAACTCAAAGGGACTACTAATTTTAGTTCGTTATAACCGTAGTTCGTTATAAGCATATAAACAGCATAACTACAGCAAATAGTCGGGACCAAAAAAGTAAGTTCGTTATATCCGTCAGTTCGTAATAAGCGTGTTCGTTATAACCGTAGTTTACTGTATAGTGAGATGGACGTACTGGTATGGTGAGAGGGGTGCGTATGAATGTAAGCTTGAGTGCGAATCCATAAGGGCGGATGGTGAGATGGATGGAGAGGTGTGGCTGGGAATGGGGTGTGTGGTGGGACGGGTGGGAGGAGGGTGTATTTTATGGAAGCATGAGCACGGATACACGAGGGCGGATGTAGATACAGTGAGATGGATGTAGGGGTATGGTGAAAAAAATGATGAAGATGATGATGTGTGTGGGCGTGTGTCCG